GGACGCAAGGCTAGTCTAAGTGTTAGAGGTCACGGTATATAGGTCATTTGTTCATATTGTAACAGAATTGTCCTAAGAAATTGGTTTCCTGTTATGATGAAAAAATTTCCAGAATGTACTGACATTTTAGGTATCAATGAGCCTCTTCTAACATATTATAAATTAGGCGTGTCATGATATATTCATGTCGATTGGTTGTTTTCAATATGATACTTCATGTACATATTGGGTATGCAAAGGATTATATGTTGGCCCAATCATTTTGTACATTATTAGATTTTATTTCGATTATAAATTTACGTTTGGGGTGATAAACTTGCCAGGCTATTTCTAATGAAAATTTGAGAACAAAAGTTTTTTTACATTGTTAACTTTGATTCTAGGTTTTAAGTATGTCGGAAAGTGTCACAAGGAATGAACATGGAGGATGACGAACCACACCAAGACACTGCCAACCAATTCCAAGTGTGTAAGAGATTCAAAGTTTGAAAAGCCACATGATTCATAGCATCCTTCTAAAATCAGGAGGTGGCCTTACAAACTTTTCTCGATAATTCAAGGCCAATCCCAAGTATGGACTCACCACTCACGGTGAGTATAAAATGATCAGTCTTCAGATTATATAGTGACCAGATGCAATATTTTCGTATTATGCTCTAAGTAATTGTTGAGACTACTCGAAACCAGATTGCAGACTCGAGTTTGTAAGTAGCGGTCCTCGAGTCCTTGAGTCCACGAGCATGTGCGCCTCCTTAACAAAGGCAGACCGTGGCCCCATTTTCTGCCCCATGAAGAACACCATGTCTCTAGCTACTGATCCTCGTCGCTTTAATGCTGTGATTGAAACCAGCGTGAAGTGCTTTCTCGAGATACTCGAAAGTCAATTGTCAATAGGAACTCCGTGGGTGCAGTACCTCTACAGTGCCAATTTCCAGATACTGCATTAATTTCTCAAAATCTGGACGCTTCAATGAGCATCTCTAGCCAGCCATGAATAAGTCGCTTCATAGGAGGTCGAGATCGCCTCGATGTACTTGAGTGACATCCCGTCTGAGAGAAATCACCCGCAGCCCCCAAAGTTCGGATGTGGAAGAAGATAAGAGGTCAACTGCTACGTAATTTCAAAGCAAAGTGACCTCAAGGCTCCAGACCCAGATAGAGATCATGATGACAAGCGGAGAAGATTTGGCGCAAAATCATCAACAGATTTACCTTCACTCGTCACGCCTTCGTTCGACGTAAAGGTCGTCTTCACAGCATTGGCACTTTATTCCCTTCTGGCCTTCCTACCATTTCTCAGGTTCAGACGGTGGGATTGTCAAACTATAAAGCAGGGTGAGAGTTTGTGGGTTGATCATGCTTTGGATTGCGTCCTCACAGATTTGTGGACTCGGGGAGCCCATGCTCAGGCCGTCAAATCTGTACGCAATAGATTCCTGTCGTTTAAACACTGATCTAGAAAAGGCATCTCCTGCTTAAGGCAATGTGTCTTGCAGATCTACATTTGGTGCTCAATGTATGAACGTCTTGTGGCCCTAGTGAAGAAGCTCTTTCATTTAACTGAGCCCAGTTATCCAAATCAAGTGATGAATGAACCTGCTGCTGCACGAGTATGTACATCCTGTGCAGATTGAAATATAGAAGGATAATCCTGACATCTCGAGACGGTTTATCAGCACGTGAGGAACCAGCTGTTCTGTAAAATGAACACCGTTTCTAATTTGAGGATTTCAGGAGCCTTGTTCTGGTCGACAGTTCAAGATCGAGCAACCCTCCGTACGTCATCTAGATGCACAGAATACAAGGCCGCTGAGCACCGAAAAAGAATGGATCCCGTACTTTATCAAGGTGGCGCTAACCGAATCTCTAACCACACTCACATTAAAAGTAGTAGGAATTATGAATGGAACTGAATGTAGAATATTCCCAACTTTCATGGGGAAATTCCCCGACGATTTGATAGATACGTATTGCGAGTATTGTCTGCTTTCACTTCACCTGGATGCAGATTTGGCGTTAAACCTAAAGGCTTGACAAACATCGGATTAGAGATGACATTATGTCGAGGGGTTCTCGTAGTTTCGAGGTAGCATGTCTTTGCTCGAATGCACCACTCAAGGAATAGGCCTCAGCTTCACGACACATTTAAACAGCTACGAAAGGGTTTCAGGTCGTCTGCAGTTCCTATCAGAATGTAAGATCGGCCGTAGTTCTGACAAGGCTTCAAAATTCAGCACGATATGGGTTGAGTCAAAACACCACGACTGGTGCACAGGTGGAATATAGCAATTTGGAGGTCCCGCATGGACATTTCTTACGAATCTGACATAGAGAAGGTGTTCGACAGGAAATCACGATTCAGGCATTTACAGACTACATCTATCTCTCGACGTGCGAATGTTGAGTGGATGAGGCCGGACGTGCATCTGGAAACACTGACTGCCATGACGGTACAATATTCTAATATTTCTATCATCTCAATTCGTGATGAACCTATCGTGTCTCCGTGCGTATGCTAGAGGTTTTGTACCTTCAACATATCTGTTATTTACTCCCACCGAGTCAAAATTGAGGAACTGTTTGAGCAATCCAGTGCACACCCTAGAGTAGTCCTTGCAGATAGACCTGAATATTCTAAATGGCTGTCACTACGCAGTGTAAAGTAGTCCAACAGTTACCCTGGTAAGGATTTTGCGGTATTTTCTGGTATGTTTATTCGTGATTCCCGAAAATTGCCGACACGAGATTTTCTTTCGTTTACTGTTTGGAATTTCGGTGATACCATTGTCATCTGTTAGGTGGTGAAAAAAAGTTGTTCACCGTCGTTGCCCGCCTAGAGAAGAAACCTTGTTGCCTAAAGTTCTCAGTCCATGTCCTTTGTTGTGTCCTTCGTTGCCCGCATCGAGATTCGCAGCTAACGTACAGGATTTGAGTTCAGGAGGATTTTCGTGGTATTAAAAAAGGCAGAATCATGTCGTGACATGAATGGATGGGTCTTGTGGCCGTCAGACCGACGGCCATAGACATTCAAGTCGCGAGCTCGTAAGCTCATCGTGACAAACAGAGAGGAGTCCTCCTCACTGGTCGGAGCTCCAAGCAGGCGCAGCCCACCGCGTGCCATTGATGAGGTGCAAGGACTACGTGCCATTGTCAAAAGCTTGTCGCCGGCTTTTCAAAGACTGAATGATGGCAGGACGACTCTAGCACAGGACGTATTTTGTCAGGCTCTGACTCCAGGGTTTGTCCTGTTGCTCTGGACCGACATTGGCTGGGATGCCCAACCCTGCAAAGAAGTAATATGCCTATCTTCCTAACGAGTTCGAGAGTCAGCTTTACCCGAATCAGGTCGCACGGTAAGCGAAGATGCTCGAGGTCCAGCTCTGAGATGAGAAATTTTGTCGTCAGTCCCCACCCTGACGACTTTGAATCTGTCAAATGGCCGGGAAGCTTTCAAAAAAATGTTCTCCTCTGGATGTCGCTCAATCGTTTGGGGCAGATCATGCAATAAAGTGTAGTTTGACTTCTATTCTCTCGGCTTCAAATGAAATTGCTCAGGTTGTTCTACGAGACATCCAAAAGCTTACTGAAATCATAAAGCTCCATTTGTGTCAAGCCATCACTGGCTTGCACAGAGAAGGACCACGTTGATCCATCGAAGCATAAGCTCAATTAGCGGCAAATGAGACCTGCTTGCCGAGTCAAGAGCATGGAACAGGGACAGTTGGACCGCATCCACAGGTCCAGCTTTCTCTTCATTTTATCAATTGAATCAATCAACAAGGAAAGGAAACGATCGTCGATTTTTTATTCTCACGGTGGATGCTCACGGCAGCCATTGACCGAGCTCGCGGCTAACTTCTGTAGAGCAAAGCTGGACCTGGGTCCCGCTCCGTGTCTCACCAGATTTGGAGTACAGTAGTGGAAGGAATCATGTCCCTCGAGCTACTGAAAGCATTTCACAGTGATCGATGGCCGATATACAGTTACGATTAGTGTCCAGATTGCCTCCACCGAGATGTCGGGTCTCGGCTAATTCCACCCTTCCACCACCTTCATCTCAGCAGCTCATGCTAATCACCGATCTTCAGATCCCAAGGATTATGACCTGCTGTGGCCATCTAGCTGGCCACGCACCGACGATTTGCATGCACTCGAAATTGGAGGCGCAGTTCCAGACAAAGCGATTGATCCATCCATCACGAGAGAGTACCTCTCTGCGTTTCTGTTGGCCCTGGGTCTAATTCTCGTCCGGAATTGGCTGTCTGCTCTAGTCGATGGCGGTTCATGGCGGATTGATTCCGAGAGATTCTTTCTCCCCCTGATGGATGGCCATGCTGTCATCGACAAACTTGCGAGCTGTAGGAATATTTTATACATTTCCTCTGCGAACAGAATCAGCGGATCCGATACATCGCATTCTTGAGCGACCTCTAGATCTCATGCTCTCCGGGTTGGCTCATGATCCGGCTATCATCCTAAACTGACTGTGACGTAACATTGCCATCCTCATACTCCTAGGCTCGCTCACCTGGCTTCACAATGCCTGCCATATCCGGCCTCTGGCTCACTCCGTCAGGCAGGTTGACATGGCCGAGCCCTTCCGGCAGCCACTGTTTACCTTTACCATTCAAGCACAAGATCATGTCCTCAGCCATTACGAGGGTGAGGGGTGTTGGGGTTTCGGCGCTAGAGGGCTTATGCTTCCCCATCCGCGGGAGGTGCGCAAATCAGTCGGTGCACAGTGTGTCGGTTTGACTGATTGGAGGTGTTTCACAGCACCACGTTGTGTCGTATTTTCTGCCGCCGGAGGATCCTGCCCGCAAGCATGAGGAAGATCTGCTGCAAGCCATGCGAGCCCCCCATGATCACACGCTACTGCTGCTGCTGCTGCTTCTTCGACGCTTGCAGCCGCAGCAGCAGCAGCAGCTGGAATTCCTGTCAACGCCAAGGAGCGCATTCACAGGCAGACTACTCTGGCGACATCATCAAAGGCTCGCTTCCGCTGGGCATGGCAGCAAGAGCAGGCAGGGGCGACCTCCTCGCGTGCTGGATTCAACAGTTTCCTTGTGTGATGATCATCTGCGAGTGGGGAGGAGTAATAATAACATGTAGCGAGCAGCGCGAGAGTTTCTACTGAGCTGTGAAGAGAGGAGAGGAGACCCGCGAAGGGTGAAATTCCACGGCTGCATGTCTCAGATCCATGTGCCAATTGGATCTTCAAAAGAGGAGAGACAGATGTGAGGCTCCCATAGCTCGGGGACTGGACAAAGCGAAGAAGGCTTCCCCCCTAGAGGACAAGAGGAAGATAAGACTGGGACGACGGAGTCCGCCCTGCGCAAGGACTTTGTTGACACATCCAAGCTACCGTAGGGCTCTAGAGCTCGAAGACGAAGACATCGTCAGATTCACAAAGCAGGGGGGCCAGGAGGGTGAATAGCATCGATGTGAGGACGAGATGCTGCGTGTCAGATTGTCATGATCGTTTCTAGTGCGGGCGGTCCCATCGAGATCTAGATCGAGTCGCAGGTCGGGGTGGGGTGGCGGGAGGCATTTTAGATTCCGCAGCCCGGACCTGGTGACGGATTTGGGAGCTTCAGTGATTAGAGCTTAGATCTAATGGCCAAATCGCCCAAGAAGGGGAAGCCGGGCACAAGACGGAGGATTGCAATTTGCAAGCTCTTGCCATTTCTGTGCCTGGCGCTCTTCCTCATTCCGTTCGTCAAACACAATTCTCGCACATTCAATCGATTGTTCAAATCTAGGATCGTCGTCTCGTACTCAGAGCAGGACGACGAGGCAATTCTCCGACACGCGGCCCCGGCGGTGCAGAAGCTCGTGGAGGCGATTCGGCAGGCGACGAGCAGAGCCTCGGACGGGGAGCAGATCGAATTCAGCGAGGACGACAGGAAGGAGTGGGAGGCGAGGCATCCATGCCGAAGCCGGCTGGAGCTCGCGCCGCTCTACGCAGCGCGCAAGCACCTGAAGGATGTGCCGGCCAACAAGCAGTGGCTGCTGGTGTTCAGAGAGTACGAGAAATTGCACCGCGCCTGCAGCAGGAGAGTGGGCGACCTGCTCAACTACTTCGAGTCCCATAATACGAGCATCGGATGCAAATTCGTCATCGCCGAGACGCATTTCGGGCTCGGAAACAAGCTGTACCACGTGTCGTCGGTGTTCATGTTCGCCGTGCTGCGGCAGCGAGTGATTCTCGTGCCCGAATCCACATCCATCCCGTCCGTGGTCTGCGAGCCATTCGCGGGCTCGTCGTGGAGAATGAACGACGAATTGCACGAGGCCGTGAAGAGGAAGCGCAAATTGTCGAAGGAATTCTACGCCGCAGTCGACCGCGACCTCGATCACCGAGGCACTCTGGATGTGTACGCGTCGGCGATCACGGACGAATGGGGGCCCGAGATGCGATTCTTCTGCAACTCCGAGCAGAGATTCCTCACTCACGTCACGTGGCTCACCATGGACGGCTGCCTGCTCTTCCTGCCCAAGCTCTGGGCCATCGACATGTTCCGCCCGGCGCTCGAGGGCCTCTTCCCGGACCGAATCGCCGCCACCTACGTGCTCCGCTCGCTCATGCTCCCGGCTGATCACGTCTGGGAGCGAATTCTGCACGTGAACGAGCTCTACCTCGCGAATGCCGAGAAGCAGGTGGGGATTCAGGTGCGCTACTTCGGCGGCGACAAGGAGTTCGAGGAGAAGAACGATCTGGTGAACGATCGAATCACTCGGTGTCTGTGGGAGAATGACATTCTGCCCGAGGTTTGCCCCGCCACTCCTGACGATCCCGGCTGGGGCGAGGCGAAATTCGCCGGGTGCGCCGAGAAATTGACGGCCGAGCATCACGCCAAGCCTCGCATGGTCAAGGTGCTCATCGCCTCGCTGTTCCAGGGCCTGCAGGATTTTCTGAACAACATCTACCTGCGCCACGAGGTGACGGCCACCAAGGACGCCGTGGGCGTGTACCAGCTCACTCACGAGCTGATTCAAGGCACGGGCGTCGAGGTCGACAGTCAAGCGCTGGTCGAGGTCATCAGCCTGAGCTTGTCGGACGTGCTGCTCGTGTCGCCCATGTCCACCTTCGGAGGAGTAGCTCAAGCGTACGGGGGCCTGATGCCATGGTTTATAGACATTGGGCGCCCCAAGGGCGAACCCGATCAGTGTCAACGAGCTATGGGGATAGATCCGTGTCACTTGGGCGCCAGGGAGAATTACGAGTGTAGGTACGACCCTCCCGGATCGCAGAACATTTATGACATGTTTACGTATTTGAAACACTGCTTGCCCATCGATGTGGGATACGGATGGGGAATGGAGCTAATCCCTGACAATCCGAGCGATCACGATTTCTCTTCCTAGGACGTCTCTGTGGAGCTCTGTGGCCAATCCTGCCCGGCACCTTGCCGGTTGTACAGTATTCTTCGAGTACGCATACAATCTCGTGTGTAGTGCTTACAATTTTTTGATATTCGATACAATTTTAGAGAAATGTTGAGGTATTGCGGAATCTCCGATGTCAAATTGTCCATCTTGGTAAATAATAATTGAGTTCTTGGGAGCAATAGTTTGCTATCGGATTCATCTCCTCAATTTCATCAACACTGCTCGATAAGTTCTTTCGATCTCATGCAGTGAGCACAGATTCACGTGCGCTCAAACTGAACACATCGGATGAGCCGTATGAGTCGAAGCTTTCAGAGATCATTGCATATCTAGGGGTGAGCGACACTCACTCGTCATTGAGATTTCCTGCACTCGAATCTGGACTGACTCAATTGAGGCCTCTATTTCTCGAATTCTCATAAACTACAGATTTTACTCCTTCCCAATTGTGAGCTGCCGAAATTTGCCGGGCCTCGATTTTAGTAGAAGGGGCAAATTGGAGCATTGGAGGCACGACGATTCTGTAGACAGAGTATCACAGTCCTTTTACTTAATGCAGGCCCATTCTGAGCTCGTAGCCTCCAATCTTCGGTGACTTGGAGATGCACGCCTACTGCAATCCTGTTGGAAGATTTACTGCTGACACAGAGTGGTGGCCTACTATGGGCACTTGACCACGGTCCAGGCTTCAAGGTGCGGGAGTACTCCTGTACATGAATGAGCGTGGGAGCACATTTGAATATACCCAACTTTTGTGTCTGGTCGCTTACCCAATTGTGTGCCTAGCTCCTCGCTTTAACTGGGGGCACACTTTCATTCGAATGGTGGTGGATGATGGATTCTCAAGCGGTCGAGAATTCCAGTGGTCGAAAGTCGCACATCAGGTGACCTGATGACCATCAGAGGATGCTGGTGACTGGTTCATGCAGCGAATCGACCGAGCGAGGAGGAAGGCAGAGCAGGGCTGGAAGAGGGCACCTGGTCCTCGCCTCGAGGAGAGTCCTGACGATCATACTCAGCTCACCACGCGCGATTCTCTGAGAATCTCCGAGCATCTCTGAGTGGAATCGCGGAATCGCGGATCTCGCAGTGTCTCTGTCTCTCCTGGAGAACGTGAACAGGCCTCTCGAAGACCTGGCGCGACCTTGAGGACTGCAACTCGGGGCCTGCATGGCGGCCCCGGCCTGAGGGCCTGGGCGTTCGTTCACTGGCAGTTAGCTAGCCAGGGCTCTCGGCGGCTTCTCGGCGCAGGGTGGGGCTATGCTTTCGGCCTTCGATTGATTGAGTGCTGGAAGGTGCGAGTGCAGTGCAGGCGAATCACTATCTCCACCATCGCGGCAACTTTGTACTGCAGCTCCCCGCCTCCTGGAACCTGGCTCCTGGAAGATCGGTCCGGCATGTGTGCTCGCTATAGTTGTGATGACACATGCTGTCGGCTCTGGACGTGGCCCAACGTGGGCTCCGCATCATCCTTCGATTAACAGTGCACTGAATCGCGTTGGAAGAAGTGGATCATGGGGTTTTCTGCCCTCTAGTGATTGAGCTTGCGATTCTGTTCCTCAAGTGAGTGCTCCATGGGGAAAACAAGGTCGCGTCAATCTCGTCGGCTTGTCGGTCATGATTGCACTGTGGAAATTCGTCCAAGCCTCTCTGCTACTCGAATTCGGCGATTGGTGTTCAGATTAATGTTCTCACTTCGCTGTTACAGAGTCTGTCTTACTGGCCGCCCCGAATCATTCAGATAAGCAAATTGTCATTGCTCTGACCATCTGTACCAACTTACAGGTGGAAGCTTACCTGGATTGAGTCATTATCTCACATGTCCAAAGTTTACTGCGAGTGTTTATGTGATGAGAATAAGAATCTCCTTGGGGTGCAGACTGTAGGACCCTCTGCCTCTGTGGCTTACTTGATCATGCTTGTGTGTGCCATCCAGGTGACAACGAGTTTCGTCCTTTGTTCACAGTGGCTAGGAAACAAGGTTACGTTAAGAGTTGATTGATCATTAAATTATCCTTGATGCGCTGAATTGTATCAACAACCATTTATCACTTTATTATCGATCTAAACGACGACCCGATTCTCGACAGACGTGTTTGCGACAAATTGTCGGTAGGCCCTGTCTGCGACATTTATACTAAAAAAATACACGTTTCGTGTGCATACAGCACTTTGTTCTCTGCTGTTCTAAGAATAAACATGAAACCTCCTTTTGTATCCATTCTATCTCATACGAATTTCTCAAAATTTGCATCTTATAACTTAAACTGAACTGGAAAGGTATTACGATTGCATCTGAAAGGGGCAAATGGGTACCAAAAACTCTACCAACCATCCATCTCTACAAGAAACAAAACCAAGGGGACTATGATACGATAGTATCATGATGAGAAATATGTATTAAAGTATCTAAATCATGTTATGCAAACTATTTATTGACAATCTGAATAACTAATGCTGCATCATTTAAATTTATTGATTTTTGTTTATATAGCGTTGTCCAATGCTAACTAGAAACATGGTGGTCAATATATCTTACATAGGACAACATAAAAATTTAATATCTTTCATGCTAGTATGATAGCAACACGGAAAGCATAAAACGTAATTCCAGTACTTGATGTTGAAAACCATAGCTATGAATATCTTTTCCGCTTTGTTGATATCGATGCTTTGTCGGTGACGTTTGTATTGTTCATTATAATGTTCGTTGTCCATATCTTGACCAAGAGGTCTGACCTGTCGATAATTTTGACCTCGAATTTTTCTTCTGTACAATTTGGTATGATGTTGGTCGTATATGGAAAGATGAAATGTCGATAATTCTGGCGATGCAATACTTGGGACCGTGTTGGATAATGATCCTTTAATTGCATCATTTACTTATTGAACATCAAATGACCAGAATTAACTTTTATGAAAATGTAAAGTGTTGGGTATAAGTCATTTCGTCTTCAAATCACGAAGGAAGTTGTGCAGTGACAGGGTATGCTAAACTGCTTGACTTTTGTGCTTCCTATCGTTGAAAGATATTTTGGCCCAAAGATTTCTTTACAGTAGGCATACAATTTTGCACTTTTTAGCCTACTAACATATATTGTAGTTCATGCATAGGATTCTTAATATCTATTCTAAACTCAGCTAATAATCTTTTTTTCAAATGATCTGATTTTTTTAGGATGGATATTGGGGAGATTTCCCCCAGGTTTGCCAGATTTTGGAAATGATATCAACAAATTTTAAGCAGCAAGTGATTCCACTTAACTCATTTACAAGCTACAACTTGTTTGAAACTTGTCCTGTAAGTATTCCATCGAAGGATCCAATTTCTATTTGACTTTCCCACTTGACTGTGCTTGACTATCGCTTGTAGGATGCAAAAAAATTTGTGAAGTGATATTTAATAATGCATATGATCTATCCCCTAGCTCGTGTAAAAGTTCAGAACTGACTGAACGTTTCAAGGTCATTGAATATTGAGCATCCAGCCCAAGTCTCCAATGCCCAAGCTGTCCTCATGGACATGTCAATCACATCATCGAATGGAACTGACTTGAAGTTCAACAGTTTGTCCTCAAAGACAGACTGTTGTGAAACTGGGAAGATATAAGCTGACGCGTTGATGCAGAATTATTCAAAACGATTCAAAGAAAATTGCCAGCCGAGGCCGGAAAAGACCAAAACCAGACCCAACTCGAGGGTCAAGGGAGAAATGAGAGGGCTACTCACTTCGTAAAAAAATTAAAATGTGAGACAACAAACGGGAAAGCTTAGCCATTACGAATGTGGACAATGACCCACCTATAGTACTTGATGATGACCATGAGTCAGTGTCTTGCAAGTTATCGTGTGTCTTTTATTTTATCTCCGTATAAATGTAAATGTTGGCCAGATTGGAAGAATTTCTGATATTTTAAAGAGAAAATCTTCCACTTTAAAGGCACCACTATATATGGATGAGCTCTCGTGAGTCTCTTCGTGTCCCCCCCACACTTCGCAACCGTGCAGCAGAACATTCTAAACACGTCAGCTCTGGATGTAGAATACCTTCTGGCACTATAATAACTTCCATTTATAACTGGAGCCGGGTTCTGAGCTAGCACACCATATCTGCCTTCGGCCAACAGAGGAGTGCTATGCTGAGATCATGCATGCATATCGTAGCGTTATTGCTTGTCCAGTCAAAAACCATATGAAGGATGGGCGCAATCAGGACAAGCTTTGGTTCTCTTCTGAAGAGTTCATGTCCTTGCACCAAGCGAAGTAAACCATACAGCGGTAAATTGAAAGTATAAGATTTAGCCCTGAATATGGACATCATAAAAAGACTACTCTTCATAATCAGAAGGCTTCTTGTATTTTAGCGCCTCCCGATGCGTGCACTAATAAAACCTTCAATTTTATAACAGTATCATCTAGTTGAAGTGGCCTACGCGGGTGAGCAGTTCCAATGTATGCACTGCAATTACTTTCCCAGAAGTCTTCAGACAATTATCACAGGTTGGTTTTTTCTTAGTCCGCATAGCTTCATATATGTAAGGCTTGCAGAACCTGTTATGAATTAGAGAGAAATCTGCATGCAGTTGTAGCAAACTCGGGTGGAAGAGAAGGTGAAGGTTATTCTTAGCAGATTAATGAGGAACAGCTTGGAACTTCACTTAAAACAACTCTAAATTCCACTGGACGATGCGACCAGACCTGTGATAGTCAGGACCAGAGCAGGATAGTACATGAAATCAGACGAACTCATCAAGTTGACGCAGAGCCCTCTGATTCTACATAAATTCTTAAATCAAGTAAGAAAAAATTAAACGTCCGGAGGAACTCACAATGTTGAGAGTGAATCTTCTATGGACTGTATTGAGCAAGGATTTAAGTGACGTAAACAATGTTGGACGGTATACTCTCTGCTTCCATTCAACACTAAAGTTAGAATTAACAGGAAGCTTCTTAGTGTAGTTCGTATTCGTAATAGAATAGAAGTAGATATCGAGAACCTACTGGATCTCACTATATATGTCTCGTCTCTCAGTAAGGATCTTGAACGTTTTTGCTTCCTCACAATGAGTTCTGTGAATACCTTAGCTTGTTCAACAAACAATCGGCTGGTATCAAGAAAAGAAAACTAAGCCTGCACTGCAGCTGGTGAGAGAATCTCTGTTCATCCGACCTTTGCATAAAGCCACCCAACTGTAGAGTTCCACATCACGAGGCGGACGTCCTGAACCAGGCTGTCGCTGAGACTTGTGAATGATCAACGTGGATTAGAGAAAGGACTTCAGAACTTATAAAATGCACTTAGTTGCTGAACACCACGGGGTCTTATGAATTGACGCGGACAGCGTATAGATGATCCTGGCTTTGGGAGAATTGTCTTCCGAGCGCTGCGAAGCTTAGGTGTTGTGCAGCAAATACAGTCGCTTGAGAATCGCTGTCTTCATCACCAAGTTGCTCTTGGCGTTCAGAGAGCTCATGTCAACCAGCTCTTCCGAATCAGGATATGAACCATGACGGTCGAGTATCCTGCCTTTTTACAACCCACATTCTCTTGTTATCAAGAGACAACAGATGCTCTTCAGCTCTGCTCGATCCTCTAGTCTTCACGTTGAAATTCTGAAGGCTAATACAAATCAGGTCTCTAGGAAAGAGGAATACAGCAGCAGGAATCACGCACCTAGAAATGGGCAGATACAGCTCTTCAACGAGCTTCACAACGATCTGAACGCTCAGAAGGCCATTCATGACTTGAAAACACCCTCTGAACAAAATCTCCTCTGTCGAGCATTATTCGAAAGCACCATCACCATAAGACTCGGCCTTATTGAAGGTGCTGAAGGCCTGTAAAGCAGCTACTTCAGTTGTATATTCTACTGCATTCATTAGACTACTACATCTTCTACATCGAAGGCATGCTGAGACTCATCAACTCGTCTGATTGTTTAATATGAGGCTGTATCGTGTTTGTTACTGTATAGACAAGCACAACTAGTTGGGAGAAGACAGCAAAGGTCAAAACAGACTACATCACAAAGTCTGGTCCAAATGTACACATCGGATTTTGGAGGATCCAAAGTTATTGACAGAGCACAAGTATTCCATCTGTGAGCAATTGCGGAGTGCTACTCTTCCGGAGACACGAGAGATCATGGGGTTGGTGGCCCATCTCCTACCACTAAAACAAGTAACTTTTCATTTAAAACAGAGTTCTGCTGGAAGAAATTCATCAGGGCGTATTACGGTTTTTCAGCGAGGAGCCATGAAGTAACACGAAATTGGATTTTGATTCTTCTCAGAGTATTCTGTTTAATAATTATCAAATATGTTTTTGAGTTTTTTGTTTTTTAAAAGAATTAAAAACCATCTGAGAGTTCAGATGGCGCCACAGTATCAAGTTATTGATAACTTTTTCACAAAAGACATTTTCAAAATATTCATAGATCTATTTCTCTTCTTCTTTTTTTCTTTTTTCAGTTCAAAAGATATAAGAAAATTTGGTCATGTCTCAAAGATATCTCTACGTGTCAACTTTGTTGCATGATAACAAATTTACAAAATAAGATTTTGTTGAATTTTCGTTTTGTATATTTTTTTGAACATTCTCACATTTAGGTATTTCTCAATGTGCTTAACGTAATTTGCAAATTTTTTGACTAAATTGTTCATCTTAAGTTTGGATCGTTTGAACTTCTTTAAATACATGTAGAAGATCTTTGATTGAGTTCGAATCGGAATATTTATTTAAAAGATAAATAACACATGTTTTTTAAAGATTTTTCGTTCTACAACTAAACATTAGAGATATTGTATAAATGATAATACATTTGAACAATGTGATTTTTATCCTCCAACAAAAACTTGAGGTTTTTATTGCTGGCCGTTATTATGTGAATCGCATTTTACATAGCTTCAAGGCTTTCACTTTAAGATATAAAATTCTTGTCTCCACGACCGCCATGTGTTAAACAGAACTCATTCATCAAATGAAACGTATTCACTTCTTAGTTCGCTCGAACAGACATGATAAAATGGATGCAAAAGTCATGAAACTTGGGGTGTTATTTTTGCACACCAAGCTTCATGAGTTTAGCATCCATTTGAACATGTTTTCCACGTTTTTAACCTCCATTAGCAAATCCTTCCGCACCGCTTGAGTTCCATGTAGTTCGATAGTGACACGGGATAGTCCGTCACAAGGCGCTAGTATACAAGTCTCTTCATAGCTTTCTTGATTCGGCATTCAGACAACTCTCCTTGCATTTGATTGTGAAAGCTAATTGCCGAAACAAAGACGACATTGTGAGAAGGCAATATTTTCTTTCGGGTTAGAATTCGAAAGCGTTGGTGTTGCTAACGCCCAGCCAACCACTTAAGAGTTGCATAGCTAGAACAATCATGGTAAAAGTGCAACTTATCCCCGCCTCCTGCCTCGTCGACAATTCACAGCGCAACTAAAGAAAAAATATCCTGTTAGTACAATCAATTTTCTATTATTTTATGAGCCATCACATTAAATCTTAACAAGATCATTTTCTTCGCAGCTAGAACTCCTAGGGTCAAAAACAAAGCAGCATCCCATGAGTGATTTGCACATCACTCACTACCTTACACTCAAAATACTCACCCAACAAATTTAATACATGATTCACATCTCTGGGCTCTCGCCTCTCGACTGGAAAAAGGGCTCAACTCAATCGAGTAGAAGTGCGGCACGGACTGGACATAAACGTTCACATCGAGGAAAAGGGAACATCAATCACACTAGGAGCGACAGGATAATGAGTTGAATTTCATCTACGAATTTATTCCACGTCGACTAACATCTCTTGACTAGCTCGCATCGATCGAAAAAGATCCACATTTTGCTCTTGCAAATGCCTTTTGCGGATTCTCCAAGCTTCGGGCATTCACCTCTCGCTGTCTCACCCGTAAAGGGTTGGATACTTTGATTCGCCGGAGTCTTGTAGGGACAAAAACAAGTTCAACATACTACTCGCCCAAAGCTGTGTAGAAGCTCAGTCCTAGGAATTGCACTCGATATCTAGCAACTGCTCGGAAAGACAGCGCTGAAGATTGATGTTGCAGACTCGACGACGCCCATCTGCCGCAAAACCGTGGAACGGAGTCGGTAAAGAACGGGCGAGGTCGAGCTGACGGTCGCCAGGTGTGGTGGTTCGTCCATAGTCGAAGGAAGATCGCTCGGAGGGTGTCACTAAACACTCAATTCTTCTTCTGGGCCGCCACAACTGCTGCGATATGCTCGATCAGGTCCACGACTCGGTTGCTGTATCCCCACTCGTTGTCGTACCAGGAGACCAGCTTCACGAAGCCATCGCCGAGCCCGATGCCGGCGCCGGCGTCGAAGATGCTGGACCGGCGGTCGCCGATGAAGTCGCTGGAGACCACGGCGTCCTCCGTGTAGCCCAAGATGCCGCTCATGGAGGTCTCGGACGCGGCCTTGATGGCCTTCTTGATGTCGTCGTAGGACGCGGCCTTCTCCAGGCGGCAGGTCAGGTCCACCACGGACACGTTCGGCGTGGGCACCCTGAACGCCATTCCCGTCAGCTTGCCGTTCAGCTGCGGCAGCACTTTGCCCACGGCCTTGGCCGCTCCCGTCGAGCTGGGAATGATGTTCTGTCCCGCTCCTCTCCCGCCGCGCCAATCCTTCCCGGACGGCCCGTCGACGGTCTTCTGGGTCGCTGCACACACGGCGGCCGCGCACTCCGAGTCAATACCCAACCGCAAACTTAACTCCGGTTAAGTTACTCGACTCTTGGTTCCAACCGCGATTCTTTTGCTCGTTGATTAAGGCGCTGGTATTAAAGTTTCCTTCCCTAAAATATGGGTTTTTTTCAAACTCTTAACGTTATAAAAACTGATGCTATTTGAGGAATAGTATAAACTCGGAGAAGAGAACTCCGGTTAAGTTAAAATTAACTCCGGTTCGGAACTGGTCTGAGAAAGCAATGTTCAGGTTTGGTTCTCTCACCGGTGGTGGCGTGGACGGTGGTCATGAGGCCCTGCACGATGCCGAACTCTTGGTGTACGACCTGGAAGCAAATGGCCACGTCATCAGAAGGCCGCAGTTCCACGAAATAAGCTCTTTGGAAGCAAATTGCCATGTCATCAGATGGCCGCAGTTCCACGAAACGAGCTCTCAGCAATCCAAATTTCCACATCATCAGAAGCCGGAGTTCCATGAAGTGAGCTCTGATGATGTGGCAAAATTGCCACGGAGGGACAGAGGACTCCGGGGACTATCGAAAGGGGGAAAGAGGAAAGCACCATCGGAGCGTCCACGGGGAAGCTTGGACGGGGTGCGAGCGATGGCATGAGTCTACACTGCGCACCTTGGCGAGAGGGGCGAGGCAGTTGGTAGTGCAGCTGGCGTTGGAGACGATGTTCTGGTCCGCAGTGTATTTCTCCTCGTTCACGCCCATGACGTACATGGGGGCATCCTCCGACGGAGCGGAGATGATCACCTTCTTGGCTCCGCCCTGGTGGACGACGGACGACAACAGCAGGTGTGAGAGAGAGCACGAAGTCGACCGAGCGCAGTAACTCTCGAATCAAGCGAGACAACTACTACGACGTCGAACGAAGCTACCGAGTTAATCGCACCTGTAAATGCGCAGAGGCCTTGGCGACGTTAGTGAAAACGCCGGTGGACTCGACGACGTAGTCGGCACCGCAGTCACCCCATGGGATATCGGCCGGGGCCCTGCACACGGAACGCGGCTCAGTTGCTAGAATGAATCCGGCTCCACGTCATGGCAGCATCGGGACACGTCCGGTGAGTCTGCTTACCTGGCACCGAAGAACTTGATCTTGTGCCCGTCGACGGACAGGGTGTTCTCGTCGAGAACTACAACTTCGCCGGGGTACACTCCGTGAGTAGAGTCGTACTTGAACAAGTACCTCTGCAACAATGGCGGTCTCACTGTCAGATGCCAGCTCTCGGCAGTCCTCCCCCAGAATTGACAAAGACCGACACCCAACTCCGCAGCGGAGCGGCAGCGACTGCGTGAGTTGTCAGTTCGTGGTCGGTCAACTTACCACGTAGTCGGTGGTGAGGAACGGATCGTTGACGGCCACCACTTCGACATCGTCCCTGGACAGCGCAATTCGCAACACGAGGCGACCGATTCTTCCGAACCCTGCAGCAAAACAGAAATCATTGGCAAGTGCGGAATGAACAAATGTGTCTCGTCTCGAGGGGAGCTCTGTCTATCATTCATTCGAACGGGATCTGAGGGACGGGGATCTCTTCCTTCATTTATGCTCGTGGAGGATCTTGTTCATTAGACACCCCGTTTACATATCACGGCTATGATTTCTATCCCGCTCGTGGGATTCAGCTTTTGAAGCCTTTCTCTTCCTCAAAAGTACCTCCTCATGAAAAATATTTTCAACCACGGAGGGAAAGTTGAGTGTATTCGTGTGACTTGAGTATCAAGCACTTCCCCTTGCTGCCAGGTCGGAAGAAACCCACCTTTCCCCACGAGACAACCCATGCATTGTCCGCGTTTTCTAATTTGAAAAGGTTCTACTGTGTAGAGATTGTTCACTCCGCTCCTGAGAGATCCAATCAGTGGCAATCGAAGCATGGAATCGAAACTTTTAGCAGAAACAAAACAGAGGCAACAACGAAAGATGCATAAGAGTCTGCGCAGTTCTCGAGAAAGTGGTTGCAACGCACCATTGATTCCGATTTTGGCCTTCTCGGTGGATCCAGATTCTGCACCAGCACCAGCACCAGCAATCCCCAGTTAAATCCCATCGGTACCGTGATGATGATGATCAGATTGTAAGTAAATTATCAAAAAATAAATCCTGCTGCCCCGAACACGACATGAAACTCGTACATTGTAATTCACAAGATGATCGAATGCGAGCAATTGAAGGGTTAAGCTTCTGTAGCTTAAGCTACAGAAGCGACATTCTTCAGCAAATTGCTACTGCAAATCTACATTCGGATTCTCAATTTCTTGGAAAGAAGAAAGTCCTACTGGCTGCAGCAGCTGCAGTCACTCGGATCGGTCCACTCGACAGCTGCCTCGAATTCCTGATGACATGATCCCGTCAGGGAAAACGTTCAGTAACCACGGCAGGCGTGCAAAATGTGAAGGAGGTTACCATGTACAAATTATAGATACCATAGCCCTAAGCTGTAGATTCAAAATTAAGCTGTCGATTGAACTGTGATCACATGGAGCATTCGCATTTGCAGCAGCGAGAAATTCACAGCCGTGATTCATTCGTGATGAACTCACAGGGAGGGAGTAGCAGTTCTCAAGGACTGAGCTGAGCCCATGAAAGACCCCTTAGCCTGAAGGCTCAAGTTTTTCACCCGGTTGTTGAAGGCGGCCTGCGCACGACACGGTTCGAGAAGGTTCAGATCAGGTCAGAAAGAACAATGCCTCCGATTATGTCGCATCAGTTTCTTCGCTGCTGGACGCTAGTCCCACGAGATGCCGTAAGTGGCCGCCATCGAGACAACACAGATGAAAGTGAAGGGGTGAAGTTGCTTGCATCATCGAGTTTACACGAGGGGTCGGGAAGAAGGAATATTCATGAAGAGCTGGTCCTAGCAAGCGAGGCTAGCGTTAATATCTTCTGGATCAGACCAGCATACTGAAGCCGCTCCCTGATGAGATCCTACCGCATTCATTTCAAGTCTACGATCCTCGATCATTCACCATCAATTTGTTTGAGAGTCTGGTCTGCAGCGGGGACTGAGGAACATCGAGCAGGACATGCTATGGGAGCTGACATCTGGCTTCGGATGACAGAGAGACTGGACCCTGTTTGGAAGTTCTATGACATGAGTTCGAAGAATGTATTCATGGGGGTGAATTACGACAGCCGAAGGACACGATAATTGGTGAAGAGAGACGCACCTTCGTTCCAGAAACAGCACTGCATCCTTGTTGGCCCTTGGCTCCGGACTGCAGTGTTGCAGATGAGAGGGAAGTGGCGAGAGAAGACGAAATCAAAGAAGAGGCAGCCATTGTTCCGAGCTCGCTAGTACTGGAAGTGTCAGCTGCACAGATGTCCCATGATTTGATCAGAACAATTTCGTGATTCTTGCGCAGGACCGGAGACGAAGGCTAAAAGAAATGCACGTGAGGAGCACACACAGCTCTAGTAGCTAGCATCCAGGTCTTGAATGCTTTGCCACGACGGATGGCACACCTCAAAACTATTCCAGCTTTGAGGATCTGTGACTACCAAGGACACATTTTACTGAGATCACAAACAGGCTCTCCATTTGTTGCTAAACATCCTCCGAGCCTCAGAGCAAACCATTCCATATCAAAGCAGTTTTCGAAAAAATCGAATAGCGGGACTACAAAAATGTCTAAGAAATTTCTTCACAAGGTCGCGAGAAGCATCAAATCACTGCCATCAAGCTCAGCTAGACTTCAGAACGCACGGCAGACCAAGGCCCTAATAATGCTCGGGCGTGTGCAAGTGTCACACGCATTAAGCGAGAGGAGAGAAGTCAAGTCGAAGATCATACTCGCTTCAAAGGTTTACGATGGATGGCTCAAACTGAACTTGCTCGGAGCTGGAAATTACCTTAAAAACAAACTCGGAAGCGAAGCTAGCAAGCAAGCAAGCAAAGGCAGTTGTTGTTCTAGATCGAGCTCCTCCGAAACAGCAGCAGAAGCTAAGCTTAAAAGGAAGAGAGGGATGAAGAGAACGATGCAAACGACCAAATAGTTACAGAACGGAACGAAGGGTTAGGAGTGAAAGACGGGTCGCCGTGGCGCAGATGAGGAAGCTTACACACATTAGAGGAATGTCCTTCTCACGACCGTCGTGACCGTGGTCCCTGGTGCACAAAGAAACTTCTGTTGGAGATCTGATCTAAACCAGAACTGCAGTGAAGTTTATCTCACTCAACCTCTTGGTTGTCAAAGTTCACTCCGGGTCGACTACGCAATTTTAGCTGTTACAATAAAACGACTTCGTAACTGATGAGAGTACATTCTGGAACTTCAAGATAGTCGAACATGAACAGTATGTTGAAAACTAGTCGATAACGATACGACACTGTCGGCGAGCGAGAGGCATGATGTGATGGTACCGAGTATAGTTTCCATACTTTCTGGCTGTCATATGATGAGTTCATTACATCATTAAAACGATGTGGACAACTTCTTGTCATTTAAAATGCTACCTTTTGCTGTAACAGCTATTAAACCGGAATTTGCACGAACAAACAAGTTATACTTTTTCTAGAGCATCCTTCTGAATATTGCTGTATGACGAATTACGAGAAAGACAGATGAAGTTAGTGAAGATGTCAAAGGGGGAAAAATCATATTGCCCGTTCTGGCAAGCAGATCACATTCTGGCCCTTCAAACATTGTAAATTTTCTGGGCAGACGATGACAAGTCGAGGGTCGAGCCGCTGAAAATTTAGGACACCCGCGATTGGTTATCTGGTCTTAGGCCAGTAAGCGGACCGCAGTTTTGCAGTGACAGGAACTGTGCCTGAATGCAGGTGGTAGCTGTAAGGGCTGTGCAATGGAGGAATGATCGGTGCCACTTGTATCCGTGAACATGTCCACAAACTTGTTTTAACCTCAACCGAATCCTAGGTCTGGACCAAGAATGGGTCTATTTGTCAGATCCAAATCTTCAAGAAACTCGATTGAATCTAGATCACTTCTCCTTGCGCGTGTTGCAGGACGGTCGAGCCCGAAGCCATGCACGTCCGAATAATAAAATTCTGGAGGAAGTTAAGCATTAAGGGCACTCCTCCCTGGCGAGATTGTGGATGATCCTCAGCGGTAACACCCTCCCTCACGCATGGACGCCCACACTCAAGACGAGGCCCGGATACAAGTCCATTTCTTCTTCCTACTAGACAAGGATCCAGAAAGTTCGCGTTGATTCCGAGAGTTGTGCACGCCCTGTATCAACATGTCCATCGTGACTGTAGTGATACACCTATTTGGCGTCGATTATCAATCAGTATGGCTTTTTGTTTAGTGTACTCCACAGTAATTTGAGAGTTGAGCACTTTGCTGGACCATCATTATTACCACCACAATGATTGGAAGCTGTCATGCTACCACTTGTAGGGAGTGTTAAGAATCTATACTTTTGATAGACAAAAGTATTTAAATGAAAGCCTTTTACGAACTCAACTGATGTTAGTAGTCACATAAAAACGAAAAAAATTCATCCTGACCAGCCAAGAAATATGATGATCAGAAAAAGTGGACCACTCTAATTTGGAAAACAATAGCTCATTCAAGGGTGTTTCTTGTTATTCAATTTTAGTTTTCTAATTTCAATTCACTGATACATCCCAATTTGGTTTCGTACCCTCAAAGATGTGATAATAAGGCTTAATAATTAACGACACATAAATGAAACTACAGGACTTACGGTTCAGTTTGCATCTCGTCCACCTGCATTCGCATGACACCGAAACAACACGTTAAAAAGGTAGAAGAGACGAACGGTACGTGTGCTGGTGACGTCGAAGATCCATCCATGGGCTTGCCAGTGTCAAAACAATCCGGGCTTCCACACAGTGCTGCACTGCAGCTGTGCCCGAGGAAGGCAGGTCAGACCATGCATCATGGTTCACAACTAATCTGTAGCCCTTCAGGTAACTGTTTGATGCAATTAAAGTAAATTTGGATCTCCACGGCTTCTAATTCTTGTCGGACTTCTTGCCCTCTTGTTACATATGAACACCTATTGTCACCACTTTTGCCTTTAGCAAAGCCCTACTCGTGAAGGTTTTATTTGAACATTAATACAGGGTCTCGGTGTTCAAGTTAAACTCAGGAGTCATGACATCACATATTAGCGAGAGATGTGGAAGTACCTTGCAATCTCTCTATTGACAAGGGCAGTGTAGGTGAGTACGTTGGGAAAATATACGTACGCTGCTACTTATTGGTCCTCCTGGCCATACATAAGGTCTCGAGATAATAATAGGTTCTTAAGCTTCTGGACTGCAAAATGAAAAGATTAGATAAAATTGTCATCGGACTCTACCTGTTTGCACAAATATACCGTGACTAATCTCACTTGCCCAACTTGAGTAAGAAAGACAATAGCAAATTTAGAGCTTCAAACGTCAAGAATATTATTGAGAGCAACAATTGCAGTTCTTCATTCTCATTAGTGGAAGACTACCGGAGGAAGGTGCAGCTCATGACTGCGATACAATCATTGAGGTTTCACAAGCATCGAGCTGATAAACTCTGGGGAATTCGGTTCTCCAGCAAAAACATGGCCTGCTTTAACGCTTTAGTTGCGCGTCTAAACTCCTGTTGATTCCAGATCTGTTCTACAAGGTCAGTCAGGAGCCCACTGTTTGCTTCGTTGCTGAGAATTTGGTAGCGTTTCTACCCACCACATAGCACAGCTCATAGATCTGCTCGTTTCGTCCCTTAGTCCCATAAATCTTTAGCTGCTTTACGTGTAGTCCATTTTAGGATGCAAGTGTCCGGGCTCGAACAACCAGCGCTGTCATGGTCTGTGACTACAGTGGAAGGTGATCGGCATTGACCTGCGGATGCGGTTCATTTTCATAGAAACGACCGAAAGACAAATTTACAAAGATCATGACCTCAGGTCTTTGTCCTTGAGCTTGTGGATGAGTATAAATGAATCCTTTTGATCAGACCAGGTCAAGGACGGTAGAGGAGACACAGCCAAGTCCACTGGTCCCGTGCTTGAAATGTCCTTACAAACAACTCTGTTGCTTGAATTGTTCCCCGGGCAGTCATGCAGGAAGCCACATGTCTCCGCTCGACTGCTATCGTCGTGGAAGTTCAGAGCGGGGGAGGTGAGGATCTTCGACTGCAGAAAGAGAGAGGGACCATATCGGTCGTCAATGGTGCGAATGGAGGGCATTGGAAAGTTTGGTCTTTTTCCGAGGCAAATGTTCGGCCACTCTTACCATATCTGGATTTATAACGCTTGACAAGATCTTTTCTGAGTTCAGGTTACAGCCCGCGGCGGATAGACGAGCATGGTCGCCGTACCCACCAAATGCTCGTGTGCCCATCATGAACAATCAAATCGCCAAGTCGCCAGTAAGCCTTGTGAACCCAGCTGAACCTTAGACTTCGGCAGGCAGGCAGTGCAGACCAGGACAATTTCGTGGATTATCCTCCTTAGCTCTTCCAACAATCATCCCCACGGTCGACCTTGTGAATCTAGCGCAGGACTGCATGGAAATCAAATGTGGGCTCTCTATGGGCTCCAAAGCTACAAGGCGGCAGCAGCAAGAGATTGCCCTGTCTTCCTAGTCACAAGAAGATCAGCTTCTCAAGCTATCTCATGAACTCCGGCAGGTTTTGAACACCAAAGCCTTGTTTTCGCAGATATCTCATTTCCTGACTGCCCTGAGCCAGGCAGACATCCAAGACTGGAATGACATACGATGGTCAGGAACTTCAATATCGAAGCACACCCATATACTCGCATAGAGACTCCAATTTACGGCGTCATTGGATGCTTATCTTCTGTAATCTGCTGAAGCTTGCTAAATTCCTCCAGCAGATCCTCCAGAGCGGAACAGACGGTGAACTCCAGACTTTTAGGAGAGTCCACTTATAGATACCAAGGCTTCCGCAAATTATTTTAAGAAAAGAAGGTCATCGAGTCTCATATTCTCCAATCGACGCGAAGGGCTTGAACAAAATGTCCAGCGGGAATCGTGAACGAAAGTAGGGCCATGCCGCGCCCGAATGTACGAATCGTGAGGGTCCAGATGTGATGAATTTTTCTAGAGCCGGGAAATCTAAAGCTGGAAAGTTCCCGGTGTGTCGTTGAAGCTTTAGCGATGGAGTTCAACGAGTAGACAAATTCATTGTTTAAAAATGGAAATTCTTAACATCTACAGCTCCTCTAGCGGGGCCACGAATCTCCAACGACTGTATTGCCTGCACGCTGCAGCAGAATGAGTTTAGTTCAGTTCCTTAAAGATGAGATCTCACCACGAGAGTCATCTCCCTTCACACAAAGATTGGATAGGCTACTAGTTCAGAACTTGGCTCCTAGATCTGAACTATGAGTCTTTCCGATCTTTTCGTCCTACTGCAACCTTGTATACACGTATACAAGGTGTGTATACAAGGTTGCACACCTTGTATTCCCCCTGACATCGTCCGTGGAGAAAATCTGAAGTCTTTGCACCACATCAGTGCTGCACATACCTAGGTCAAACTTCCTAACTTGTGCATCGGTGATAAAATCGGAGGCATGTAAGGAATTATGATGCGAAGCACTAGCACTAAGACCACATACCAAAATGCGGCCTAAGCTCATGACAGCGCCGCTTAGAGGAGAGCTAGCAGTAGAGGCTTAGGTGAACGATGTAAATCAGAGAAGTGTACCCAGAGTTGCGAAAGCCATTCCAATTCAAACGGCCGAAGCTAAACGAATTTGGTGAAGAAGCTGTAGGAAAGCTGGCATCATTTTGTAATAACATGGACAACCTTGACAAATGCTTCACAAGAAAGTAACTTTCGTTGATATAGAGGATGATGGCGCCTGGTTTCTCTTTTCTGTTATCAGTAAACAAATACCTGGCATTTATATTCTGAACCATTCTGGTGATAAGTGCTGGGCTTGGAGTTCTCTTGATCTCAGCAATTCCACAGCAAAAGCCAGGAATGTCGAGCACTTGCAAGTCCCGGTTTTCAAAAGCAATCCGGGAGGGAAGGAGGGTATGAAATAATTAGCAGGAATGTGGTCGCAGCAAGCTTGAACTTCTCGAACTGTTCGTCTTTTGCTCCTACTCCGTCCTAGTCGCGTACTACTCTCTCCTTTACATTCGTTAGCTTAACCTTAGTGCTCAAGTCAACTATTAATAGGCAAAAGGTTCGCTTACGGAACAATCTGCTCAATAAAATTGAAGTTTGAGGATTGGAATTCGATGGCGAACAAGAATAGGTGTAAGTATACACTAGACACCAATCCTCCAAGATTTGAATTGGCTATAAAAGTTCTGTACAAGTTGGCTACTGTGCGGCGAAAGGCTCTTAAAAGCACCTCATGTGCATCTCTAGAGCAATCCTCCTCACTTCGAACCAACTAAAAATGGGCCATTGAGAGTGTCCACCTCTGACGAGTTCGAACCCAAATCATCTGTGTCCGTAACCTTTACCATCTCACGCTCTGAAGGGATCGGGGAAGGCTGAAATTGGCTGTTGGCAATTTCCACCTCCGGCGAATACGAAAGCAAATCATCCGTATCCGTAAACTTCTCTAACTCAGGCCTCGCAGGGATTTGCGAAGACTGGGATGTACCGCCGCGTTCCAATTTCTTCTCCTCATCGTAAACCAAATACACTCTCGTGTTCACTGCGGCCACCGTGTCGTCGTCCAGCCGGGGAGGCCTCTCAGGGTCGTCTTCGCGGCTCTGCCGAGAAACCCTCCACGAAATGAACAAGGCCGTCGCGGCCAGGAAGCCGAAGAATGGAAGTTGTCGCCAATGACTGCCTTGCCCTTTCAGACCTCCCGCGACAGCGAGAGCGGCTGCTCTGATCCAGGCCGCCATTCCGCCCCGCGGTCTCAAGTGACGGAGCTCATGGAGCGAGATCGACCCTCGAGAAACTCTCGAACTTTCTTCGTCTGCCCTGCCCTCGCCCGGCGTCGATTTCTTGCACCGCCACCTGTCCTACTCCGAGCACGTGAGCATTTCGAAACGGCCCGCTCCGACGACGACAGATGAAATGAGAGCGCCGTCGCGCGTGCTTCGAACCTTTGAACCTTTGAATCTTTGAATCTTTGAACCTTCCTCGTCGGGCGGACGTTGTGCCGCGGCTAGTCTCGGCTCGGCCCGCCTCCCGCCGCGCTCAGCTCTCCTCGTCCCGCCCTCGAGAATTTCGTAATTTTCGTCGCTCCTTCGTTCTACGTCGTCGAGAGTTCGAGCGATCGAGCGTTCGAGCGTTCACACCGCCGAGACTTTCTTCTCTCTGTGCCTCTCTGCTGACGCAGGCGTGAATGCCGAGAAAGAGATCGAGCGAGCACATCGGACTTGCGGAATCGAACCTTCCTCTGCGCTGCGCTACGATGATCCCGATCGATTCGCCTACAAAGACTCGCGAATCTCAAAAATCTGCGCAGGGCATAAGGTGTCGGGAAGAATCACCCCTTCCGGCAACGTGTGATTCTTCGTAAGCATGGAATCTTTGCAATGCTTTCTGTTGCTAATTTGACGCTTGGCTACAGAAGTGCGTCTGGCTGTTCACTCGGTTTCTCGTGTGCTCGAGCTCTATCTTACTGCGGGATTCGATCAAGTATTCGATGCCTTACTTAGCTGGGGCAAGCATATCTCCCTGTTTTCTCGTTCTCTTGTGACCGATAGTTCCCGTGGGAATGGCGGAGCATCATTCTTTCTGGAATAAGTGATATTCTTATACAGTAGACACTCCTCGTCTGAAATAGCTGACGCAAAAAAGTCCAACTTTCTATCAAAGTTGTTTCAGGACTTTGGATCGACCCTCTATCACGAGCCCAATTTCGCTAATTTGTCTACTGATTCTTAGACCAACGTTTACAGCTACAGTTTGATAATATTTTGTGCACATGCGAAGTGAGGAGACTTGGCAGCTGATCTAACTTCGAGTAGCACGACAATAGGAAACACGCTAGAGCGAACCAGGAGACTTCACTTCTCCAGCATTATTTACCGATCAAGGTAAACGAGATGCAACGAGGATTCGTGTAGTTCAAATCAGCTTCAACTTTTGACGTGGAAGCTGAATTTTTGCTGGACCATATTGTACAATATTATGGGATTGCTGCAGTAGTTAGTTCAAAAACCGAACGAAAGATGGCGGTGATAAGATTGTTTGCAGGGGTGGTTGCCACAGGGTACCCGAGTCATGACGCACTTTGATGCATGCCATCGGACAACAAACAACATCATGGCAAGGTTGCGCGATTGGTTTTATTCCCGATATGATTACAAATTTACAAGGATGTGACACCCTCAGCTGTTGACTTCTTGTTATAGATCACCATGGTTTAAGGGGTGGTGCACATCACTAATCTGAGGAGAAACCATTCCCTCGAGTAACGAACAGCCCATCGAGCTCCCTAGCTCTCTAATGGATAGACAACTCCACGTAGCTCTGATTGACGTTTCCCATAGACTGTGCTATCTGTTTTCTTATTTCTGTTAAGAAATCAAGTCGTTCAAAACTTGTTGGACGAACTAGAGAGCATTTAAAACGTGAGGTTGTCCGTCTATTACAGCAATCTTGGTATGTCCCTTAGCAGTGGCTCCTTGCAAGGATGATGCAGTCAAGGCAATAGATCCCCGGGCAACATCGAAAACTTTTGTTACTAACTGCCATGAGGCCCACCAGAATGCTATCCAGCCTGCACAAACACCACATCCAGAAGAGTGAGCTGCATGTAAACGTTTTATCACGGGGATCACAGAAGAGACTCCGCGTTGTACATAAGGTTATAAATGGCGACCTAGAAAGTCATGTGTAACTTAAAACTGTGCCACATAGAATAAAAGAGGTAGGCTGAATAAGGTTTAGGTGAAACGCACTTGCAGCAGTCACCACCGCGAACATAGTCATGAAGGCGATGGACGATATGACAAACACCGCGATTGAAAGGGCACCAATGTAAATTGCAGTCAATGCTGCGAAGAAGACAGCTACACAAGCACCCACAGCTGCCATTGATCCCAGTAGTGCTACGACAATCGTGTTTGTTGTTGCTATGACGAAGAAAACCAAGAATGCAGCCACTCCAGTTAATCCCAAAAGCGCGATAAGTCCTGTCTGCATATCAGGAACACGAAGGAAAGATTGCGAGGTAAGTTCTAAGATCGTTGTGGGCATGCAGAGACAGACTCATGAAAATTTGAGTATCGTCCATGGTCTCCCATGGACTTGGGTGGAAACTTCAAGATAAGTTATGATGTGCATTGGGACACCAAGCCATGGGAGCAGCGGGTAAGTAAGAAACTAGACAAAGTTAAGTACTACAGCAATGTCCAGAGCATGAGTTCGTAAGTCAAACAAGCCAGATTTGCTTGATTCCCCTCCAACACACGCATACACTTCTAGCTAATACCATACCGAGACTAACAATCTTTTGCACATTCCCATGTCCAGTGCTTGTCGAAAATCAGAAAAGACTGCAATAGTCGGAGATCCAGTCGGATGAACGATCTTCTCCAATGAGAACCTGACTCCTAATTATACTATCTTCAGTACAAAATGCTGTAAACTTGCATACAAACTATCATCAAAAGTGGTGTACCAGGGAAACGCTGATAATATTATGCTCATTTGCCCAATATTATCGGCAATTCCCTGGTATACAACTTTGCTATCAGGCAATCGCATTGTGAATGTTTTTTGAATTAAGAAGACAGGTAAAAGAGGTTGATTTTTGAAAATAAAGGAGAAATTATAATCCACAATCCGTCACAGGCAATTACAGCAAAAAACTCATGAACTCTTTGTGCAATTTGATGAGGTACATGCCCACTTACCTTACGAGAATTCTATCCTCATGAATTTTTCTATACACTCGTCTTCTTTTTTGGATTTGAACCAGAAGAAAGAAATGAGGAGCAAAGTAAGACACCAAGGTTTCTAGATCATGCATGCCCGTGCCAAATACTACTCAGACCAGCAATTTGCAGTTTACCAGTAATAAAAGTCAAATTCAACTCTTGTTATTTTGCTTTCAGCTCATTTCATTCGGCAAGAAGTGAGTTGGGGCTGTTGCGACGACGAAGGCAGCAGGTTGAACAAAGAAGCACTTACAACTGTAATCAGGAACGAGCGCCACTGGCCACCTTGATTAATCCAGCGCACGAGGTCCTCGGACGACTGTTTTGCAGCTTGCTTGAGACGCGGAGCTTTTTGCTGAACCACTTCGCGGGACCCTAAGAGCATCGATCTCCGAGATCTTCCGTCCTTCGTCAACTCCGCCACCATTTCTTTCATCACGTCCAGAAGACCTTCTCTGTCTTCCCTGGGATCATGCTTCTTCCGCGAGCTCGACTGCTCCAAAGTCCGAGCATCACCTTCATACTGCTCTTGCTCCCTGCTCATCGTGTTCATCTCCATCTCCTCTTCCAAGGCTCAAGCAATGCCGGACTCTCAGCGCTAACCCAGCTTCATTCAACAAGCCCACTAAAGAAAACAACAAATCACGAGCACAAAATCCGCAAGAACCTGTAATGTTTCACTCAGAACGATTTCTTTAATTTCTCTTCCCGTCAGGTACAAGGCCCCCGTCACTCCTCCTTCCTCAATCGATCAATCAAACTCGAAGAAGAAGCGCTTTCGAAACTGGCTTCGGAATTGGAGAAAGGTCTTCGCATCTTGCCAGACTCTTCCTCGTCCTGCTCCTGATCCTGCTCCGATCTCTCAAACCGGTCAAAAGAAATCCCGTGCTCCAGAATCCTCATGGGCAACCACCCACCCCACAACCATTGACATGAACGAAGAAGGAGGAGGAGCCAGGCGAGGAAATTAAAAAGAAACGGACGAGCGCGCGACAAGCGGACAACTATTTTCCTCGCGCTGTCTCCGTCGAGTATCTGCCCTCTCCAGCCTTCCTCTCACCCAATGCCACGTGGACTCGCCTGCGTTTTCCTCTCCTTCCGTAGAAAACTCAAACATGCAAAAACAAGACATTGCTGACAACTTTGCCATTGGTCAGGTCCCTTCGATAAGAGAGAGCCACGTGGAATGAGCACATAAAATAAGCTCGATCGTCGTCTGTCGCAACCTACTGCATCTGGAAGAGCAAATGGACTTGATGGCGAAAAATGATCTGGATAGAGAAGATTGACAAAGACCAAGATTCGTGAAAGATTACAACCAAGCCATATTCGCACTCTACTTCATTGAATTCAAGCTTTTGCAATTTCATTATATTCTATAGGTTCCATGTTATTGCATGTTCATGATACCTCCGCTAGTTCAACTTCAAAATTTTCATTATTAGAATCCATCATTACTGCACTTAAAATTTAAATACTCTATCGATTGATTTTTAATCATAAAACTTGCATCAAGTACATCTCTTCGCACTAACTGATGTATGTATATGTATATATATAGTCCCACACTGACACCTATCTAATCAGTTAGCCACTGCAGCAAAGTCATTATATCTTACTTTTAGGAGATATATTGAAGATTAGAATCCAATAACTTGTACATCAATCTTGGAAAAAAAAAATTGAATATTCTGTCATGTGTTTTATGATTCATCATTTGAAATCTTGTAGAATATTTTTCCACATTAAAATTTTTTTCCTTACAACTATCTAAAATTTCTCTCAATTTATGTTGATGTTTAAATAAGTGATTATTTTCTTATTCATCAATTTTTTTATTTTCTTAAGGAGAAAATATGAGTTTGTTTATCATGATAATGATTTTGATCATAATGAAACTCAAAACCTAGATTAATTTTAAAAAATGAAAAAGAATACATAAATTTTACAAAATAATTAAATTAAATGAGAACATGAATTTTAATGGACGATATTTCAATTGAATTTGAATATCTGTAGTGAGATTTATGATAAATAATTTTTAAATAATTTGGTTATTATTAAAAGTAAAAAACCATAAAAATTACTCTCTCTTAATGTTTATGTCTAGATAAGTGAATGATTAAATTTATTTATTTAAAATAAGTTCATTTTTTCAATTTTAAATATAGAATAATTTTAAATATTTTATTTAAATATACGTATTTAAGATGAAATTGTAGATAAAATGTATTACTTACAAATGTTTTTTGAAATTTTAATTATAAAATAAATTTAGATTTTTTTTATATTTTTTTGAATCAAATTATAGATAAAATATAGTAAATATGATTATTTTTTGAAATTTTAATTATAAACCATAAAAATTTTAATTTAGTTAATTTACCATATTTTACTTAAATATATATTCACTTTAAATTTTTTATTATTTTAAAGGTATGTAATTTCTAAATAGATTATATTATGTCATATTTATTTATTTCATTTTTAATTGTATATTTAATTATATAAATCTTATTAAATATATTTTTAATCAAATTTTATAAACTAAATTGTGATTGATTTAAAGCTAGTGATGTTTATAAAAGATGTTTGAAGTATACTACGGCATAAATTATAAATTCTATGAAATATATTTTGTGGAAAAAGCATCATTACAATAAGACACATATTTTTTTATGTTCATTATGTAATAAGCTTTTCACCTTGAATATATATTAAAATGAACAAGTAATATGATATTTTGATTGATAAAATTGAAAAATTTGAAATTGCTACATTCCTAGTATATTTGAGAAAAAAATGTTGTAAAGTTGTTAAATCAATAATTTATGTGAGTTTATGAATAGAAAATTTGCATTGATCTGCAAAGAAAATATGATTGAAAATTATGTTAATTTTCCAATAAAATATACATAAGATGAATTGGATGTAAAACAAGTCAATTTATGATATTTTCTATTTATATTTAGGTTGCAATTTTTCAATACTTAACTTTCGATAACAACATAAAGATTCTAAAAAACTTATCAATGTGCATTTGGTTCTACAACTGTTATTTTTTTCTTGAGCATTAACTCTAAACCATCTTCTATCATGGAATTTTACCAATGAAAGATTTAAAGTTGTAAACACAATTGTCATATGTTTACAATTTTATTATATCAAACAATTTTTTGAATTTAAGAACTTTCTTGATGAAATTCAATACATATATGGTAAAAAAAAATCACATATACACATCATTGAAACATATTATGTTGAAGATGAAATCAATAAATAAATATTGTAAGATCTCATGAATGCTTTCAATGATATTATTATGAATTTGCAAGATCTTGATAAGGAATAGAGTGATGAAAAAAATCTTTTATTCATATGATTTCACATAATCTTATCTTGATCAATCTTACCATTATGGAAAAATACTGCATTACAATGTTACATCACGGTGATGTGTCTTTATTGCAAGTATTATTTCATCGTAATAAATAGATAAGTACTTACATTGAGGTGATGAATATTCTATAAATGCAGATTATGTATTTAGGATGATGTATCATCTTCACTTTTAACTTCCACAAGCATAATGATGGATGTAGTACATGAAAATTCTCCAAAAGAAAAAAAAATGATGTTGAATGAGAGAAAGAGAGATGTAAGATTAGATTTATATCAAAGTAAGATAACATGATGAATATAAATATATACCAAATCAAACCACCTCAAAAGAAACTTTTGCAGCAAAAAGAGTTTTTCACCAGATATTGTAAATTACAAATATATAGATGAGTTTTGTTTGTTTGATGACAAACATGTTTTATATTGGAGATAGATATTGAATTTGATCTGTTTGACGAAAAATATATCTTATAATGGTAATGATTATTTATTTGCACTTGGTTGAAGAGTGAGAAGATGAATGTATTGTGGATTTTGACTTTTTTTATAATATGTTACTACCCAATATCAAATCTTTCCATTTTAATGAAAAATGATCAATCGTGTCAAATTCAAGGTAATATGAAAATTTAAATGTTTGATGATTTTGTGACATATTTCAGATTTGTCAATGACTTAATATACTTTGGTAATTATACTTATATGATCATCAATGAGAAGTAAATGATGATGTACTTCATATCATGATGTGGAAAGCATCAATTCGAACAAAGATAGTTATAAATATGAATGTACAAGAGGTAAACATTATTGTAAGGAAGTGGAAATATTTATATCATAATGATAATGATTAAGTGTGGCATTTTAGTAAAGATTACATAGGTTAGAAGATCATATATATATATATATATATATTTGTTTAAACATTTTTTTCATATTGTGATTTGAAAATTTATAATTTTACAAGTGTTTCAATATAAAATAGTAACATGAATGTTGCGATGATAATTCATAATTTCAAAAAAATTTAAATATATACATATGAGAGATTCACCTTCTACTCTATTACATTTTGGAAAGTTGTACAAGAGCAAATTCTTGAAGTTGAGTAAATTCAATCAAGAAGAATTACAAGCTTTGACACACATCAACACAACAAGACATAATTAATATTATAATTTCTTGATGATTAGCGTACAATTATCAAATACTCATGATTGATTATTTTCAAGATAGTTGTGTTAGTGTTAACTCATCGGTAGGATTAAGGTTGGGATTAGGATTTTAAATATAGAATTAGGGTTAGTATATAAAACATTCAAAGAAATCCTTACTTGTACTTTGTTCAAGTCGGCAGTGTATTTATCGTTACGAGTTTTTTCGTTGCTTGACCATTTTTTAAGTAAATATTTTGTGATTTCTTGACTGATTTATTCCTTGTCACTATCTCGTAAATACCCAAAAATTGGTTTCACAGCAGTAACAAGACACAATACTCCTAGCAAACCTTGTGTCTACACCGCCAGAGTCTGGACATAGTTGTATCAAGATCATTGCATTATCATTCAACCCTATGCTTGACGATTTCTTGGTATTTTGCCACTCATTTCCATGAACATGTCTTGACACCTCGAGCTCTACTACTTCCATAGCAAAATTTTTCATAGGAAATCATTGATGCTCACATACTTTTTTGATTTCTCTTTCTATTCTAACACCTACTTTTACTGTTTCTTCTTCTTCTTGTCAATGCCCAATTATATAAGAAATCTTCTTTGGGAGACTTTTTGTCAACCATTCGCATGATCTCTAAAGCTTTGTCAACTTCTAGTTTCCTTTCTTTTTCTTTGTTTGCGGCTAGAGCTTTGCGCTTCTTGTCAAGAATCGTTTCGTTCGTTCAAAGTCATCTTGTTGTCTTACTACTCTTCTTTTTTCTCGCCATCCTAAATGATTACGTCGTCAACATGGTTCTTGCCTTTATACTTCTTTTCTTCATCAAGAGTAATTATTTTCTTGTCTTCTTTTCCAGCAACCTCCATGATGTCTTGCATGACACCTTGATCATCATCAACTTCTCAATTTGCTCGACCAGAACCATCTCGCTTCATCTCATTGCTATTATTGGATACACTATGAAGATTGTGCTCGTGGTGTCCTGTACGACCTTCATCGTTTTCTCCATAGCCAAGACCATCTTTGCGCAATTGTCTTTGGAGTACCATTTTTCATCTTACTTTCCACGAGATGCCCTTTTATATACGCAACCAAAGCCACCGCCGCCTCCACCAGCAACCTAATCAATGCAAATTTCATCCCTAATGATCATTGCAGTTCTCTTGATTGTTGTCGATGTCATTGTATGTTTTTCAATTCGAGAAGATAACATCACAATTCTCGTGTTGAAATACTACATCCTTCATCGCAATCACTGCCATACCCATTGCAACCTTGGCCAATTTCACGACCTCCTCCATGTACCACTTTCATTGAGTACTCTATGCTCCTATGTGCAAGACAAAGATAGAATCTCATGAGAAGACTGTTCGACCAAGTACCGTTGATCGTTGTTGATAATCGTTGTTGACCGTTGGAATATTTTGTTTGATCAAATATTTTGCCCCAATAGAATATACCATTTCTAGAATATGACAAGAGGTTAGCTAATGAGTGACAAAGAAGAATCTTCCACTCAAACACTACCTGCCACAACTTCAAGTATGAAGTGGATGATTGTTAATGTTAATCCGCCGTTGGAGGTTATGATTTCTAACCTAGGGTTAGTGTTAAGGTTTCAGACAGTATAGAAGATCCTGAGGAGTTTTGTCCCTTACGTTGATAGTCTAATTAACACAACAAGTCTCCTCGTCGCGTCATCATTTTCTTCTGAATAATTGTATCGTGATTTCACGATTCATATTCTCTTTGTGTCCGTAGCCACATACCCAACAAGTTGTAAGTAAAGTGAGTTGAATGATAAAATACATAGTTAGCTAGAATTTTTATTGAATACATTTGTCATACCAAATAATGAATTTCAAGTAATTATTTAGCAAATTTCTAGCAGTTTATTTTAACAAAAGACTTGTGTTTGAAAGAAAAAACAAATATGTGTCGATTCTAATTTTTCATGATTATTTTAAAAATGATAAAAATTTTAGATAAAATTATGATAAACATATAGTATATGGATAAGATTCATATCTGAATATGAAAATTTTCATACATATTCCAAATAAATTTCTGCAAAATATATTTTGTAATAGAACCCAGGTATTATTGTGCAAAGATAATTCTTTGGTATGTTTGTAGTCATTTGATGCTTACAAGAAATGTACTATAGTAACTCAACGGTTATATGAAAAATATTTAAACGAAAATATCTAAAAAAATTTTGGTATCAAAATTTGATTCTTGGCACATGAAAAATTTTTAAACTCAAAATCTTGATCTAATTTTAAATTAGAGCATAATTATTTTCATCATATTGTAGTTCTAGGTCGAACTAACCATCAAACCCAAGTAAACGTTTGTTGATTTTAGTTCAATCTAAGCTGTACTTCAAACTGCAGAGAAATTATAATACTACAAAAATTCTGTTTTCAATGTCAGGAATGTTTTTCTCGTCGATGTCTTTTTCCTGAGAGATAGTATAATACTACCATGAAGTTTGTGTCTCAAAGACATGCAAATCATATTATCAGTGGGTAGAATCATAGGAAGTGCTACAGAGGTTTGAATCAAGCATCGTGTTGCTCGAGAGTCGACCAACTTCACCTGGCTTCCATGTGAATGCGGGTTATTGCTGAAGCTCGATCTATATTTTAACTTGCGTTAAGTTGTGAAATTCCGTCCCTCCACGTTATCTGCTGAAACCGGATCAACTTGACAGTGCCCGGACGATCGATTACACTACAGGTTGGTTCGTTTGCTTTACCTGAAAATATTGACCCTATGTCTCGTACCTTCCCAAAAAGTCTTCTGTGAGGCTCCCCGTTTGTCTTTGAGCAAAACTCTCGAGAATGAATATGGAGAAATGGCTTGAATAAGATTGTGAAGCTGCTGCAGCAGTCACAGTGGGTATCATGGGTGATGTTAGAGCAACCGAAAGTTCTCCAGGATATAACGCCGAGGCCTGGTCTCCAGAAAGTCTCCACAGGGACCTTTTCCGATCTCGATAAATTGTCTTCAACAATCAGCTCCGGTGAACAAAGGTTGCAATCGTGTAGCTGGAGTTGAACTTGAAACCAGAAGTGCTTCCACATTTCTTCTTCCATCATCCCACAGTGATGGTCCTTGTGAGGAGTGATTCACAGATGCGAGCGGAAAGTGTCCTGTAGTGGAGAATTACCATACCTAATGTAGTAATAGCAGAGCCTGCACGCTCCCGACAAAGAACGAGTTCAACTCTGCTCTTAGGGGAGACAACAGGGGTCCGTCAAAATACTCCTACGCTACATAAACGCCATAATGGAGGTTCCAGAAATGAGTCAGCCCACCAGGCCAACAAGAGAAGTAACTAGAAATAAGCCAGGAACTGAAGGAACTGATAAGACTGAAGGATATCATGAGCGACCATGAAAGACAATGTGGCAATTACACAATCTAAGGTGGTATGATCATGATGACGATGACGCACGATCTAAGATCCATAAGAGATTAGAATAATCTGAACGACTTAAAGTGCAGCGTAGAAGCTCTTCTGGTTCTTCGCTCAAGCATTTCAGAGAAAGGGTTGCCACCTGCAAATAATGGACTCTAAATATGCTGAAAGACGGCATCGCACCTGAAGTCCTCTCATGGTTCAGCAGAGGAGCCCTTATCAGTTGTTGAATTCCAGAAGTAAGATATGCGTATATATATTCTGAAATTCTAACTGGAACCTCGTGCTTGAGATTCGTTATAGTGAGGAGATGCATATGATATTGACAACTCTCGCCTCATCAGCAATTTCTTCACACACTTAGAGAAGAAAAAGGGAATATAAAAGTGTCAGGTACATTTTTTACAAATTCACAGTGGGAGGGAGGACGGAATGAATAGCAGCCCAGACGCCGTCAGGGTGCATCAAGTTTTTGAAAGCATTCTGCAACTCAAAACCTTTCTGATGGTCACAGGGTCTAGCTTCCGAACTCCAAAACGTCTCGAGATGTCAATCAGAGACTTATCTTTAGCCATATCTGTTTGTTCTCTTGGCTTGACAGGAGATGGTTGGAGTGCCTGAAGAAGGGTATGTGCATCATTGGAAGATAGAGTTAAAAGAATGACAGCATCGTGCAGTGTCTTGAAAAACCCAGAAGGCCGAACGCAGTATGGCTTAAATAGCAGGAACAAGCCTTGAATGTCCGCAGCAAACTGCCACCCTCCGTAGTCTGAGAACTTAGCCCCACTCAAGACAACCGAATTGACGAGGAGCTGATCCAAAACTGCGGCTAAGCTGCGCCATAGCTCCAAGAAGTTCACGAAGTCCAGCGTTGCATTTAAAGTCGATAGTTGACTCTGCAACACGGCGAGGCTATCCACCATAGTGGCAGAAACGTCGAAATCTTTTAAAGTATTTACATAAGTTTCATCCATCAGATCTTTCGGCCTAGGCTTAGACTCCACATCGCTATCTTGTACGGGAACAGCGAGACTCTGTGTACCGTTGCCAGGGTCGCTCCACCTTTTCTTATTCCACAGATATTCTCTGCACCGAGCTTCAAATCCCCTCGATATTGACGACACCAGCTTGTTTAGCCAATCTTTCCTAAACTGTTCAAATTCCCCGATCTCTTGGTCAAAAATTGATCCCCCCGTCAATTCTATCGTACCTTGAGTCTCGTCTTGATGAGCGTTAAGTAACTCTACAAAGAAAATGTCCTCACCCCACTCCTGCAGCGAATGTTGACAAAAACGAGCGGCATTTAGGCAGGTGGCCACTTTCACCATCGATTCCTCATCTGCAAGAGCTGTGACAGCTTGCAGTTCTAGGCATCTTGGCCCAAGCATCTCTTGCAGGTAGACTTGTGCTATTGGGATAGCCCCTAGCTTGACAAAAACGTACTGCTGATACGGTTCCAGAAGGCTCCGGCATCTATCCGTGATAGCAGACATTGAAGCCATGACTAATGAAGCTCCTGCAGGAGCCCGAAAATTTTCAATAGGGGCACCCAAAAATCCATTTGCCCCTTCGTGGCCGTCCTGAACCAATCCCAAGAAAACGTCCGCCTTGGTTTTCGTGACCCATGCTCCGTCATTGTGCAGCTCTACTTTCAGTTTTGCCAGTACATCCTCGCGCTCCAGCGTTGCCCACATCTCCAACCATTCTTGTCGGTCCGCTATGGCTGAAATAGAAAGGACAACAGGCCCGGACAAGTTGTCCAAGTCTTCTACTTGAGCTTCCTCCAAAGATCCTCCTTGGAAAAGTCCGAGAACTCGCATAGCAAGAGATTTCATCCGTCCGTCGAAAGCCAAGGCTTCATCTACTATGTGTAACCACAGGGCAGCAGCAACGGATCCAGCTCCACCATCATCTTGCAAATCATTGGCTAATCCAGGAAGAATGTGGTTTTGGAGATAGAGAGACATCATGCTCGAGAGCGAGAATACCCACTCTTCTCGGGCACTATACCCTGCAAGATTAGCCTTGTCAATTAAAGGCTGCAAAATTTCGTCCACAGAATCGACATATTCCTGGGCCAGACGGAAGGCTAGAGCGAAGGCCAACTCTGGTTTGGTGGTCCATCGGAGAAAGTGTGGCTCGGCCTTGGCCGCCACAGGAGAAACCAGTTCATCCATGGCCCAGAGTGGAGCACGGTTCGCTCGACTCTTCATCTTTCGTTCACTGAGTGTATCTGGGGATATCACGTCGTTGACATTTTTGTACTGATTGAGTTGCCTCTCTCTCCTTGCTTGCTGCACAGCTTGCAAAATTGTCAACGCCATGAAGCTTTCAAAATATGTCCGTTCCTGCACTTCCGACATCTCCAACAGGGGATTCACCAACTTGTTTCCACCGACAGAGGAGGCAGACAGCGGGGGTGGCCACCCTATCGATTTCAAGATATGCCGATGATCTGCTACGACTACAGGTCGCAAGATAGCGGCCACTCGGTCGACTCTAAGGTCTACCGCTGACACGAGGCGATTCCAGTGAGCGTTTGAAATTTCAGCAACTGCAGCTTCGGTGGTCTGCATGATTTTCACTGCGCGCGTTGCTTTCAGCAGTATTCCCCCACTCTGCAAAGCGCCCAGAATCAGCGACCAAAAACCGGATCTCTTTGATTATTTTTGATTTCAATGTCTGCGCAATATATCAGGCCGTAATGAAAGATCCTGATTTAACCGAGCTCTGATTATCAATCACGGAAAATTTCTATTTCAAAGTGCAGTGGAGAAAGCGAGACCAAGATTTACCACGACAGAGCTCCTCATGGCAGGAACAAGCAGTCGGATATAGTTTTTCCAATACCTGCCTCAACTTCAGAGAGGCAGGTAAGGCAAAGAAAATGTGGACTCACAAGCCAAATTTAGAGTGAGATTCCGGGGGAAAAAATCACTTGCCTGTGTGGATGAACGTACAGAGCTGGAGATGGTTGCAACAGCAGCTTCTAGATCACCGACAAGTTGCTCCAACTTCAATGCACTTTCTGCGTAAATCCTGACTTTCTCAACTCTAGCCACTTCATTAGCTAAATTCTCAAGTTCTTCTACCATCCCTCGCCGGTTCAGTTCGGTGCCCTCAGACTCCGTCTCACCTCTTCCCGGATTCATTATTCTCTCGATTTCAACCTTCTCCTTCTCCTCCCAGTTTGAAATCCCGTGTTTTTTCTCCGAAACTGCCGTACCATTTCCGCCGCTACCACTACCTTCTCTTTGCATTGAAGAAAGGGGAACACTGGACGCCCTGACATTCTCAATCTTGGAGGTCAATTTCTCCAACGAGTTGGTCAGAAGACCAAAACGTGACAAGCCGCGGGATGTAGTGACCAGAACCTGCGCCTGAGCCTTGCGGAAATTTTCCTTCTCCTCATCCAGCTCGGCCAGCAAACGGGCAACCAAGGAAGGCGTTCCAGACAGATCGTCTACAGTGTTAAAAGACTCGTTAAGCAGATTCCGAAGAAACGGAGAAATTGATTCCTTGGCAGGCAGCGCTTCGAGCCCTCCACCCGGCCCATCATCCGATCCTCTACTTTCGAGCTCCATGACACCGATTGCCAATTAGTACCTCCTTGGCCTTCTTCAAGAAAATTCCACGACTGCAACAGCAGATCGACCGTCACCGATCACTCCATTCCGACTGCTTTCTTCTCCTCCTCCTCCTCCTCGAAGTCCAAATTCCAACCCTCAAGCTGCCTGCCACTTCCTTGCCCTTCCGCGATTCGAATTGACGACAACTCCTGCAGCAAACCAAAAGGCCCCACTCGACTCACTCACACTCCCTCCTTACCTTCTAGGGTTCCCTCCCCACGACACCCGCCACTGAGTCGCAAATCCCCTCTGCTCCACAACAAGGGATCCATTCTCTCGAGAGCAAACGCATCAATCCTTCCCAATCTCCTGCACGAACGAACACCCATTGCCCTTCCTCGGCTCTCCATGAAAGGTCTTGCCATGACCTCCTTTCCTTCTCCGGGCCTGACATGGCACGAGGTATCGACAAACCAGCCCAAAACCTCGACCTCCGTTAGCGTCCAGTTCTCGCGGACATGATCGGGAAACGACGACGAGCAATTTCCGTTTGGTTGTGACGGCGGGGGAGCCAACCGACTCTGAACGACTTCCTTTCCGGGGACAGGAGGGGAGAAACGCCCAATGGGCCCGGAAGGGAGGGAAGGGGGTGACCCGCTGCAGCAGGTCATCTCGGTTGGACGTGGTTGGGAGAGGGGCTCACCGCGTAGACGGGCGCCGCGACCACGCCCGCCCAGAGGCAGGGAATGGCTCGCTCGAGGATTTAGGGTTCGTGTGAGGGAGTGAGTGGAGTTGAGATTGTAGTGGGGCTTTTAGGGTGCAAGCAGCCGCTGTATTCTTCCTTTTTCTCATTCCTCGCTCTTACGAAGGATTGAGCGAGCTCTGATTTTGCACACCAAGTGCTAGCAACACAGCAGCGGCAGCCATGGCCGTCGGGTACGTGTAACTCGGTCGGCGTAGAATTCCTGGGTCTGGCTGTTGCGAAAAGTTTTTGGACGTCGAGTTTTGATTTTGGATCTCGTAGTCGATTAGAATTGGGTTTTCGTGAATGGGATTTGTTACTGAGAGTGATTGTGTTGGTAATGCAGAAAGAATAAGAGAATTTCCAAGGGGAAGAAGGGAGGAAAGAAGAAGATTGTCGACCCGTTCTCAAAGAAGGACTGGTATGACATCAAGGCTCCTTCCACCTTCTCGCAGAGGCAGGTCGGAAAGACCTTGGTGACCAGGACACAGGGAACCAAGATTGCTTCAGATGGTTTGAAGGGACGTGTGTTTGAGATCTCTCTTGCTGACCTCCAACAAGATGAAGACCAAGCTTTCCGTAAGATCAAGCTGAGAGCTGAAGACGTTCAAGGAAAGAACGTCCTCACCAACTTCTGGGGTATGGACTTCACCACAGACAAGTTGCGCTCATTGGTGCGAAAGTGGCAGAGTTTGATCGAGGCCCACGTCGATGTCAAGACCACCGACAACTACACCCTGCGAATGTTCTGCATCGGTTTCACGAAGAAGCGACCGAACCAGATCAAGCGTACCTGCTACGCCCAATCCAGTCAAATCCGTCAGGTACTTTGCAGTCCGATGTTCGAAGAACGTTTATCAATTTGAACGATCTCATTTTATAAAATTAATTCTTCCATGTCTCCTGTAGTTTCTCACTTAGGGTACGCATTGCCTCTCACTTCCATCGCTCGTCAACTGCTGTCGACCTCACACTTTCACTAGCTGCCGAGTGGATAAACGAAATTTAGCTGCCAGCCTGCGTGCCAATCTACATGGCTACATCAGACCTCTGTGCCCTTTGGGTGTCGAAGTCACTACCACTACTTAGTATTATCATAAGTTCAATGTCTCCTACACTTTGGGTGTTTTAGGTTTAATTACGAATCACATCTGTTCATTGCTGTTACAACACATGTTCGACATCCCTAATGTACGGTGTCCTGAAAATTCTCTGTAAGCATTTGTACAGGCTACTTGTTGTCCATTGAAGTTCGCAGGTCTAGGTTTAATAACACTCAACCTTCTAATAGTTTAAGATCCTGTTGTCCTGTACTGAGAAACCTAATTGCAATGTCCCCACAGATTCGTAAGAAGATGAGGGAGATCATGGTTATGCAAGCTCAGAGCTGCGACTTGAAGGATCTCGTCGCGAAGTTCATTCCGGAGGTTATTGGAAAGGAAATCGAGAAAGCCACCGCAGGAATTTACCCTCTGCAAAACACCTTCGTAAGGAAGGTGAAGATCCTCAAAGCCCCCAAGTTCGATTTGAGTAAGTTGATGGAAGTACACGGTGACTACAGCGAGGAGGTCGGTGCCAAGATTGAGCGACCAGTTGGGGACGATGCTGAGCCTGAAGCCGAAGCCGTAGAGGTGGTCGGTGCATAAATGTCACTTTAGGCGTCCGTCATATAGTTAGAGACAATTGCTGCCTTGAGACTTCGGTAGTGGTCACCTGAGACTGTAAATCATTACGATTTACATGACTGATTGCCGACTCAGGGTTTTTGTACAACCTTTGCATACCAAGAAAACCGAGGTTACAGAAGCTTGTCTCTTCAGCTGACCGCGCGCAATTTCGTGGTCACTGCTCACATGTTGGTCACATGAGATTTCAGAGTTTTAAATTGTTGTATCCACATGACAGTTGTTATGATTTGTCCTACACCATCTATTAGTGATACCGGGGAGCGCAGGTATTAACTTGTACGGGCAGGGCAAGATGAATTTTGATGGGCAGCTACGGGATTGTGCTTTGTGTTGAACGTGGCCTAGGATTGAAAATTGTTTTCATATCAGCCATCGCATCTGAACTTCGCGTAGGGGTTTGAGAATTGCACTTAACCCGAACAGCTCACTTGGAGGATTCATGCCCATTACTCTGTCATTATCAGGGCCTAGGAAAGTTTTGTTAGGAAGGAAGCGAGAGGTAAACCATCAATATTGTAATGTGAACTTAAATAAGTCGAAATAAGCTTACGCCGGCGTCATCTACCATCACATCGCTTGTTCAATGCTGCCTGTTTACTCAAGGAATGCAGTAAGACAATGAGTACGAAATAATGTCACTTATGACGTTCATTCAAGTTGGAAATGATCACCTAATAATGTGAAATCTGCAGTAGAAAAATTCGCTTGTAATGCAGAGAGTTTAAATTTAGTGAATAAGATTTTGAAAATGCACACTGGCATTCTAATCTGAATTGTAACTACTCGCGACAATGCTACTGACTGAACTATTCGATATAAGGAACAAACGGAGGTGTAATGCTCAAATTCGAGAAAAGCATGCGAACGAAAGCTAGGAAACATCATCACGATGGCTACCCTGGACATGTTGACAGAACAATGATGATGAGCATCACTTCAGACTCATCTTCCATTACATCATCAAAATCTCGATGCCTATGCCTGTATTTGAGAAATCGATGTTCAAAATGGAAGAAAGAACATTGCGTTTTTTTGTGAACTGTTCGCCAAAGATAAGATTATATATATGGACCTTGAATGGAAAAGCCATCTGCATCCGCTTCATGAAAGTGAGCCAAAATCTTCGCCGTACGCACGTAGCGCCTAGGGACCTACGAAGAAAAGCACGTCATCCAACATGGGGATTTGTCTGGTTTCGAACTTGGAATCAAGTCGGATTCCTGTGCACAGCAACCAGTTTATATTGTCCTTTACACGCTTTCGTCCAGTCTTTTGAGAAGTGATTTCGGCAGCGGTGCGTGCGGTCGCGCATCTGGCGTGACTTCTCTCACCAGCTGCAATCGAAGTCTGAGCGTGACGTACTCGAAAATGGAGTTGGATTACTGGGGGAAGCATGTCCTCGCTCCGATGGTGCGCGTGGTAAGGACCCGGCCCATCCTTATTTCAGTCTCCCTGAAATACGATTTGATCCGCATCTCTCACTTCAGGTTCAGAAATTCAGCTCTGTTTGATACTGAATTGACCCGTAGATGGATTCGATGCAATGTTTTCCGTGTGGACTATTGCGCTGATGAAGCCTGACGATGAAGGGCAGAAAATTGGGCTACTTTTCTTCGCACTCACCTTGTTTTCATAGCTCCACGCCTTGCGTCTGTATCATAGCCATCAACTTGTTGCTGGATGAAGTACCACACGACCTCCGAATTGTTCTAAATAGTCGATGGCATATTCTAGGTTTACGGTCATGGACTAATGACAGCTACTTTTGTACCCTGTCACTACCTAGTACTATCAAAATTTTGTCTAGCATCCTGTTACTAACGAATTATTACTTTGAAGGCTTTTTTCTACTCTTGCTGTTCAAAATCCTGTGGAGATCACAATTTCAGGAGCTCACTCCTATTTCTGTTGAGATTCTCCAAATTAGTATTGAGGTTTTGCGTACTTCTTCTGAAGTTTTTGAGGCACTTGTGAGCTCCTGCTGATATTTTGACTCAACCGAAACCGAATTGGTCCTAACACGAGAGAGTTTGCAGGGCACGATTCCCCTAAGAATGCTTGCAGCTGAGTATGGGGCAGATATCACCTACGGTGAGGAACTTGTCGACCACAAATTCGTCAAATGTTATCGACAAGAGAATGGTATGTATTGGCAAAGTCCTCTGTTCTGATATTGTTCTAATGTCAAGTCGCATTCTGATGTTCGCATCATCTGTCAATGAAAATTATCATACAGCCGACCGAAAGTAAATCTATATAATATAGCCTTGCGTTCTGGGTACACAACCAGATGCAAAGAATTGCATCTGGTTGTCTACTGTTGTTTAGAACAGAAGATACGATCATTTCGTTTCGTTTCGAATTTTCCCGCATGGAAAATTCGTATATTCTGCGAGGGTGTTTTTCGTGCTGAATTGGACCTTCTAATACTGTTCGAATTTCCTCTTATTCTTATAGAATTTCCTTGTTTTGTGTTTATGCAGAGGAGCTGCAGACTGTGGACTTTATAGAGAAGGATACCAAAGAAGTCGTGTTCAGAACCTCCAGCTTGGAAAAGCACAGAGTAGTATTTCAAATTGGTACAGCAGATGCTTTAAGGGCTTTGAAAGTCGCTCAGTTGGTGTGCGGATCACTTCTCCCAATCCAACCTCGAAAATAATGTTCTAGGTCTTAAGTTGTTAGCGAGGGTAGTAACTTGTTTGTAACAGGGAACACATCACATCATTGAGATTTAATTCATGCTTGAAAACTAGCCGTGACGATCAAAAGACTACTGACATTGACTTGTCCGCATCACTTAGTCTTTGTTCTCTTGGTCTATTCCTCGCAGGCAAAACGACGTTGCTGCTATCGATATCAACATGGGATGTCCGAAATCCTTCTCCCTTAGTGGGGGCATGGGTGCTGCACTTTTGTCCAAGCCTGACCTCATTCATGATGTATGTCAAAACTTACCCCTTCATCATGAGGAACGGATTTCAATTGCGTTAGGTTTTGCCATTTGTTTATCCATATCTGAGCTTTCCTGAGCTTTCCTGGAGAATTTGTAATTGAAATCAGTATCTAAAGCTTGTCGGATGTTGATACGCAGATACTGACAACGCTGAAAAGAAACCTGAACATACCCGTGACTTGTAAGATACGTCTTCTGAAGACGTACGCAGACACTGTCGAGCTGGCCCGAAGAATTGAAAGCACTGGTGTGTCTGCGATTGGTGTGCATGGCAGGTAACGAACACAACAAGTTCAATGCCGACTTTGATGCGTCTCTAGAAGTACTGTGGATCTCCAACGAGTCTTCAGTTGTAGATTGTAAAAACAAATTTCGGTCAACATTTTTATGAGCAAGTAATGATTGTCTGCAACAAACTCTGATTTTGTATTCCTTCTACATTCAGGAGGGTGGCAGACAGGCCGAGGGACCCAGCGCAGTGGGATGGCATTGCCGAAGTCGTGTCTGCTTTATCCATTCCAGTCATTGCTAACGGCGACGTCTTTGAGTATGAAGATTTTCAACGCATCAAAGATGCAACAGGTATTTTTTGTAGTTGATTGTGATAATTATGTAGTTGTGGTCCTCACAACAATTATTCAGCTCTAGTTGCAGTGATCTCTGTTTAATCTGAAATCTCATCACGGTTGGAGTTTGCTGTATCCACAAAGTTGGGATCAGTCTCCATATGTTATTTTTTCCTAACGTCTCAAACGCAACTATTCGTGTGTCCTGCAGTTGTCTAGGAATGTATATGATTCGTATAGTGACTGGTCTGTCATATTCTGATGAGGGAGTAGGACATTTAGAGGAAATTTTACGTGCTCTTACTCCAGTCTGATGTCATCCACGGCATCTTACAGGAGCTGCATCAGTTATGGTGGCAAGAGCAGCTTGCTGGAATGTATCTGTGTTCAGACCTGGAGGAAAGCTTCCTTGGGAGGATGTAAAGAAAGAATATATCAAGAAGGTAACAATACCACCCCGGTTATATGTCAGTATGTTCGCTGAACGATGAAAGCCGCGAACCCTGCACTAGTCTGTATAACATCTTGTGATGGCGTGAATGATATGATACATATGCAAGTATATTTCCAGCAAATAGTTCCAAGAATGTGTCCAGGTTTCTGTATTTGTTCTGATCAGCTTTTGTGATAATCATTTACAGAGTATATTATGGGACAATGACATCAAGAGCACTAAACATGAGTTGAAGGAAATGATAATGCATTATTCGTGCTTAGAGTTCGCCGAGGGAAAGCTTTTGAACAAATGCAAGGATATTGCAGATGTGTCGTAAGTTTTCCGTTTCTTTACCTTGTACGTCTTAAAGTGAATGTTATATTCATAGAATTAATGTTTCAGAGATAGAGTTTCATATGTGTGGTAGAATCTTTGACTGTGATGTCTTTAAAGTACGTGTCCATCTTTGGAGCGTCGTCTTTGGGCTGATCTATCAAATGTTTAGTGACTGATTACTTTGACTCCTGATCGCAGAGACATGTATGGGGTTCGAAGCTACTATGACGAGGTTCAAGGGCTACGTAATAAACGCAGACATGCATCTTTTGCTGGTAGGGCATTTGGTCTTTTACGTTTGCGATGTTAAAAGTTGCTCAAGAACTCTCTTGGAAGGAAAAAATTCTTATTATTCCATCGTTTACATTGTTCTGGATGCATCTGCTTGACGCTCCGACATAGCTTTCTGTGACAATGCTAGGTCCTTCGTACCTCGAGATATGGAAACTGTGATCCAGTTTTTGGTTCTTTCATATGAAAGTCTTCATCTTCTCAGAGCTTTTCAAAGAAAGGACACCTGCTTCTCAGGGCTGTCTTTTGGTACTGTTACGATTTGTCATACTGCCTGTTGCATGTGCAGGAGCAGGAATCTTCATTTGAGGTCAAGCAAGATGTGCTTTTACCATGATAGCTTACAGGAGGTTTGTTTTTGTGAATGTAGGTAGCACACTATTTATCACATTTATACAGTTTGCCTATTTCTCTTGCTGACTCCGAGTCTCTTCCTCTGGGGCTTACATAGTCTTAGAGCTCAGAAGAGTCTTGTAGCCAACGATTTTGAGGCTTCTACTCAAGTCTTGAAATTTATCCTCCGTCCCGACTATGCCAAATGTCAGCTAGTTTACTTTGGGGGATGATCCTCATTCATCGACTATGGTCCATAAAATAGCATTCTCGTCCTAGTCATCATTTTCAATTTGAGGCAAATGTAACCCTCAAATCTGATTCCAGAGCAGGGCTGAAAGTTAACATTCAAAGTAAGCTCGAATAAACTTAGTAGTGTGTCGGGGTCTTCAGCCTTGCAACCAAAGGGTGACGTTATGCACCTCGATGCAGGTCGTTGTAAGCTGTAACGGATCGAAGGTTTTCCCTCGCATCTCATTTGCACGGTCAGGTACTTAGCATTTTCCAACATTACGTGGGTTCTGTCTCATTACGAATTTCTTGTTTGAGATGATGGGGTTGACTGGAAATGATACAATGTCATTTGCATCAATCAATCTAAGCTCGATGCATGTTTTTGCAAATCTGCACATACAATTATGTCTTGATAAAGGTCTTTCTGTCGCCTAACAAACTTGGGTGCAAACTAGAATACAAGAAGCAAGCAATGAAACATATCGTGGTGGGAATGCAGCTACCTGTCAAAGTCCACATTTTAGATTTGAAGCTATTTTAAGTTGTGTACATTTTGGTCTCTCAACATCTTGTCGTCGGTAGGAGTCTACTTCTCGTTAAATGTTTTTAAGAAGAAATTGTTCTCGCGAGTACCACTTCGAGACTGTAAGTAAATATGTTTATATTGTATTTACCACAAAATACAAGACGCAGGTGGTTTAATATGATCTACATATGCTAAACATTAATAATCATCGAAAGTGTATGTGAAATCGAACAATCCTCAATCTATTTACGTGAACTTGTTTACAGTATAACGACTATGGGTTGGTATATACAAAATAGTAGTCAAGTGTGAAATTATGAATGAAATATCAATTTAAGCATACAAAATATTAAGTATTGCATTCGTACATATTGCATGACTAGTAGTTTATTCAATTTTGTAGACATTATGAAATTTATCCATATGCTAAAGAAAAGAAACATTCAAAGTAAGTCGCGTGTAATGTTCACAACGAAATCTCGGAACACTAATCCTGGTATCATTCCAGAGAACCCTTAATTACCTGGAAAATAGCACAGTATGTATAATGTTATTTATGTGGATATATTTGAATGTCTTCCATAAGTTTTGAGTCTCTATGCACTAGGAGTCAAAGTAATCTGAATAATATAAAAAATATCAATAGCATTTTTTGAAGAAAAAAATCAATTACATTGAAGATAAGAAGACACTTCTATAAATAGATTTGAGAAATCAATCTTGGTTTACTCCTTTGTCTGTGAATGTTTCCATGGTAACACGAATTTAATACTATGGTATATACAGGGTGTATGGTGTTGGAGAAATATCAGAGTTGAAAGAGTCAATAAAATGATAGTAGGAATAATATACTATTAAATTATTTACGTATTAATTTATACAACAATACAAAGAAACAATAAATCTAAAAATTATTTTAAGGATATGATTTATATTCAAAATCCAATTAAAAAATTATTTAATTAGAAAATTTATAGATATTTTAATATATAATTATATTAAAATCCAAATATGACGTTACTTAGTATTGACAAATAAAATAATCTTGGAATTCACCACGATGATCGATGGACAATTCGCACAGAGAGATTTGTTCGAATCAATCGATTTCAATCACATCTTTTCGTGCGGGGATTCGGGTTCTTCAGCAAGGGATCTTAAATCATCGCTACTATGAACAATTTTGGTCACATAATGTTTCTTTCAAGCCTTGGTTTGTTACATAATCTCCAGATCTGAACATGGGACCAGATGTGGCTCGATCGACTGGTGTTCGGTGGAGTGAAGGATAGCCAAAGCAACGTCGCCTTCGTAACACGAACGACACATTTCACGAGACATTCGTGTCATATGAAAGGAATGCGTCAGTACATATCGAAAGGAGCATATAATCTCGTATTGAATAATGCTCGAGCCATGAGTTATGATGCGTAAACAATGTCACTGGAATGCCGGAGGTTTCAATTCTGAACAAAGGCGCAATTTCGGATAAATTCCGTTATAGCTCCGGTAGCCGGGAAGGTTAGCCTCACTGTGGTTAAGACTGTACAACTGGACAGATGGCAGTGATTGAGCTCCGGAGAGACAGCGGAATGATGGTTCAGTTTTCCTACGTATGACGAGCAGGAGGAGGAGTTTTATTGTCCGAGACGGACAGCACCCAGATTGCATCCCTGGGGGAATGCCACATCAGGGGGAATCGAAATATGAGGTTGATGAGATCCGCAATTTCAAACTAATCGTAGGATTCGAGAAACCCGAAATATGGCTCGGCCGGAAACATGGTCGGCAGGATGAAACAGAGGTTAGCGAAATTGGACAAAGAAGCAAAGATGAGGAGGAGGAAGAGATGGAGATAGAGAGATACCTCTGAGTGCAAGAAGGCATTTATTGAGTTCAAATGGCGAGTAGCAGTGATGGCTTTTATAACAGGTGCGCGAAGGCAGACGAAGCACGACAGGTTTCAGGCATGCTTCAGGACAAGATTGTGGGCGGCAATCAGACAAGGAAGCTCGGGCTCCTGCTGCTGCTACTTTTGCTGATGGAACCTCTGGGACGTGCTCGGTCCAGCGTTTTGCTGTCCTCTGGCAAGCTGGAAGCCTGCAAGCGCGACGCGATTCAGACCGAGGATCTGATTTGTGAGCTGAAAGTGGTATTGGGTCTTACTGTTGTCAATGGCGAGGTATACTCTTCCTCGAAGGTTTAAGAATTCCGCCTATCTATGTGTTGGTCGGTACGAGCTCTTGTTTGGGTGTTGTTCCTGTCACAACGTGATGGTCCTTTCTCTTTAGAGGAATCTTGACGTAAGCCCTTTGCACTGAGATTTCTGGTTCTCATGTTTCACACAATGTAGCAAACACAGGCTTTTGTTCCACTGTGCACGCTTGTGGTAGTGCACATCCAGTATTTTCTTTTCTGTATAATGTTACTCTCTGAAAGACTAACTGTCTGCCTGCGCCTAGAATGAGCTAATTTAGCCGAGGAAGTTCGATTGCTCTGCAGCTAAGATCAGATCTTTGAGTGCAAGATATAGTTGAGCGTGGCTACACTTCGTGATGAGCTCATGCTATTCTGTTTCAGGCTCGTAGTGTTCTACATCCTCAGTGGCAAATGCTCACGGCGAGGCGAAGTAGAGTAGATCCTGAACGAACTTTGGTCATCACGTATGCGGAATGAACTTGATCAATATTACTTCATGATTTTCCTCCTGAGGGGAATGGAACGGACTTCATATTGTGGAATCAATCAGGAGAAACAGTGTTGTGTTTTCATTGGGTCATTTCTTTTCAAGTAGCAGATGTCATCTTTAGGGTTGCTTCTGATTCACTGTAATAAATTTCATAGCCTCAGCTCGAATTGCACTCCACAGGTGAGTGATTATTCTTGGAGATGTCAATAAATTAGAGGGGTACCATGACTGATGTATGCAGTTTTTCGAAGTCAATATTTGCTGGAGCTTCCAGTCTAAGTAAAATATGGAGTCTGGTCTGTGGGATGACCCACCTAAATGCTTGTGAGACTTAACCCTGAGAAAAGTGAATACGAGGGTCACTTGTTTGCAGGCTTGGGCCTTCTCACTGGAAGTTTACATCAAATGTTTTTTAGCAGCCTGAACGTATCCATGTGCAATGTCCGTAGCAGTCTGAAGAAGCCCCTTTTTACTTGTGGCATTAGTAACAGTTTATAACACGGCCGTGCCTCATGAACTCTCCTGAAGTCATGTCGACGCTAACCTGATTTTGTTCATCATAGTGTATGTGCTCATTTTGTGAGTGAATCATTCACTCACAGCAGAAGGCGTTACGCTAGTCCGACGTCTCATGAGGATTATGCTTCCACTTCTATCTTGTTTTGAGTGTGCATCTCATCTTCATATCCCTTGTCTTGAAGAGTATTAACCAGTCTTGAGTTTCGTTTGTACAGGCCGGTTTAGTTTCCTGAAAATAAGATGACGATACCAGAGCAATTTTGTCATCATCTAGACATTTGGAAACTAAATGGCTTTCAGTGTGTTCGCTTGCTGATGGAGTACGATTTTTTTTCTTTTCGGTTGTTCTTTCTCTTACTGACCTTCAGAAGACGAGCAAGTTTTGCTGTATAAAAGCTATGTGATTTTCTTGTCAGAATTCCAGGTCGAAGAGAGTGATGCTGTTGAGACCTTTGTCACTTCAGTTGAAGACTTCGACGGTCGAGTGAGGGATCTTGCAGAACCATACCGGATAACTATTTACAAAAGCGATGTTTATGCCCATTATCCTCTGAATCTTGTCCAGGTGAATAGCTGCAATATTTTATTGTTTAGTTATTAAGCCGAATCATGCATCAGTGACTGATTGCAAAGCAGTAGTGAATCACCTCACATCTCTAAGAATTAACCTAAAGATTTGCATTGCTGTTTCAATTCGTGGCTTAATATAGGTCTTCAACGATTATCCTCATGAGGTTGCATCACCTGCTCCTAATTGCAACGATGCAGATGTTGCATCAATGCCAAATTGTGGGTGGTATATTTCTTTACCTTTTAAAGTGAATTTTCATAAAGAAACACAAGAATCAAATCTTATATAGGTCGGTCAATCAAACTCGACCGTGATGAAATTTGTCCTGAAAAGGCGAAACGAATTTCGTCTAATGCTCCTACCTGTCGTGCATAATTATGCTGTAAATCCTCAATCACTTACTTACAATACCCAGTTTGCGTACCCCTCGAGATATTGTGCAAAAGCTACAGCGTGCTTGAACTGAATAACACTAGCTAATACAAGCATGACGTAGTGTACATTAAGGCAATAGTATATATCTACACAGCTTACGAAACCAATTACGTGCGAGTTGGAACTGCAGGGTGCTTGACAATGGGGGAAACAAATTGCAGCACAGTCAGGTCATAATCTTGCAAACAAACCTCTCCATGTGTTTCTCAGATCAACTTATCCGTTATAAACCTCTTCTGGACAACTTTGGACATACTTCAAATCCTATAGTAATCATAATTCATAGTCGGTAATGATTTGCGATAGGATACAAACCTTTAAGCCACGTCTTTCTTTCATCGAGTTCCATTGCGTTTAAAGAGGCCCTTGACACTATGATGTTTGCATTATGCTTGCCAGAAGAGAATCATAGACGTAAAATGTGTATGTTATCGTCCGTTCTATGTCCAGGGTTTCTGTTGCCTTTGTTCCCTCATGGATACGCTCCCAAGCTGGATGGGAGGAACGAAATTCAAAAGACTTGATGTTGATTGCTCTCTGAAATCAAGTAAATAACTTACGCTCTTGTTGCCCGGACTTCTCTCCACATAAATCTTCAATCGTCGCACTTCGCTAGTAACACGCTTGTCATTGTAGACGTTGATACTTAAGAAAGATTAACAGAAGTATGTGTTACTGAAGTATTTATCAATCAAGATGGCAGAGGAACGCAAATGCTTCCACTAACTGTGTGTTCAAATGATATGATTCTAAGTATGATACATATAGTGTATGTGCTATAATTCTTAGTCGCTTTAGGCCAAAGAGAAGCCTTCAGTGCACTTTCACTTATGCTTCCAAGGATCGTTTGTATATCTATGACAGTGGCAGGTCAACTTCCGTGGTGGAGGAATGGCAGTGTACACTGTCTAAGATTCTCGAATAAATGGTCAGTGCTTCTTCATCAATATTATTGAGTTACCTTTCTTCTGATTTGAATATCGTTCAGCTTCCTTGTGAAGAAATCTGTATACTCTATTCTCAGCAGCGTTCTGACGCTGATGCATTCACTTCATTAATGAGCACCACCTCCATCTAATAACGTCGTGTGTCATAGAATAATCTGGAAGTCCTTGCTTTCGACAGAATCTAGTAACCATAGCTTGTCCAATTAAAACTGCTTTAAGACTGAGTTTTAGATTCTAGAACTCGATGAGAGTAGCAATCAATCATGTACGTCATGAGAGCATTAAATGAACGATGATAATTCAAGTGAGAGGAAAGTCCTGTCTTGTGCTTCCATTGACTCATAGTATACATGCTATGGCAGGTATCCCACCTATGAAATTCAAGATCCCAGCTTGAAATTCTCGATAAAGGTGGTCTTACATCAACTGTACTCCGACTCAGAAGCTATCTATGTGGCAAAGATTGAAGATTTTGTAAGTTGCAGCATTACATATTTTCCTGATTGGTGAAGCCTATTAAATATTTAGGTTCGGTACTCCCCCTCAGCAAGCGTTTGATTGTCATGTGTTTGCTTTCTCCTCAGAGTACGTTGATGTTGACTACATCACAAACAAAACAGGTAAATGAAGAGAGGACAATGAAGGCCATGTTACAAGCTGATTCGAATGCCTCTCGACCGCCGAATCTGAATGGCCTTTATCTTTCCATACCGAACCATGAGGTAAGTTATGTTATTGTGGCAGCTCTTAAGTGTTTGAGGATAGATCGTGCTCAACTTATATTATGATATTAAGTCTAGCCCATTTTGACTTCGTGGAACACTTCAAATGCTTTTATTTCGGTAAGAGCGATAAGTAAATCATCATTCTCTTTTGATCTGTGGTCAAGAGTGCTCGACGTTTTCAAATATAAACTCTCGAATCTACATAGAAATTATTACACAATCGTGTGCTGTTGCTGTCTTGTCTCAAAGGGGAGAAGCGACATGATTCAAGATCCCAACCAGTGGTTGGCCCTAGGAAAGAATAATTACACTCTGGAGGGTTCTGAGTGCTACAAAATTGGGGTCTCCTATAAAGCTTTCCGTTTTCAGGATGATCCATGCTTACAAAAGTTCCAGTCTTGTTGTGGAAAGCAGCTCAAAATTTATGCGGAGGTATGTCCATCCCACTTTACTTCGTTATCCGGACCACCTGCATACATTAGATTGTTTAATCAAGGAGATCCAATGGTCTTCGTGACATTTTGGAGGCGATGTCGATTTGGATGGGGGTTATGGGGAATCACTCCAAACTTGTTTCCATGTTCCATATCTCCCACATGTTGTATACTTCATTAGAAAAGAATAATCTTTAGTACCTCATTAATTTACTTTTTCATAATTTGGGAAAAAAATACTTCTGAAATGTATTCTCATATACCTTCTAATATGAGTAAATCATGAAATGCAAATAAATCTCTATATTGATTCTCACATTTCTAGTAAAGCTGCATAGATCGTCAGCTATCCAAGATATATTATCTCTCTTATCTTATCCAGTGTTATGCAATTATGAGATTATCTAACTGTGGTTGCAATCTTCTTTTTCTCTTCATATATGCCATTTACAAACTTAGAAGAGTTATAAGTTTTCTTCCTATTCTACTTTAGACATCGAAAATTCATGCCCTCTTATCATTTACAGCATAGTCAGAGATTCTTTGCTCATTTCTAAGTCAGTCTATACATCTTTTACTTAGCAGCGTTAGTTATAGTTGCTTCAATGTAATATCCTTCAAACCTTGTAGCAAAAGTTATCAATCTTGTACAGGTGTAAAGAGCTTGCATTTGGAAAAACTATCAAGTGATAGCACAAGAACTTCAGTCGCTTCAGTTAGACTATTCATTTAATGGGCTTTGGTACTAAAAGAATGTGAATGTAGCTTAGCCCAAATTTGCAATCACATTGCCAAGGTGTACAAACATTAACTATCTCAACTGTGGTTTTTGATTTATAACCATGGAGATGAACAACGCCACTACTATATACTATATTTTATTTTATGTTCAACAGATACCATTCAATTTAGTAATTTTTCAGCCGAATTCCGAATGAAAATTAATTCTATAGGTCAGAATTCTTTAATCAATCGCATTATTAAAAACACTAGGAATCTCATCCTCTGTTTCGGAAGGGAGATGAAATTGGAACTTAGTTTAAATGAAACTTTAGAGAAAATAAGTGAAAATTGTCCATCCACTTGTCTAGGATGGTTTTGCATCTGCAATATTCAAATGCAGCTTAGTTTATTGTTTGTTTCACACGTTTCTTTACCAAAGTTTTATTTGAATATGATGTCTAAGCATCCAACGTTACAACTAGAGGTCAGAATTTGCAAAACGAATGCGAGAAGTAAATAGGTCTTTATGTTTGATCACATGAAAAGCTTAACACTTAGTTTCATAAGTGTATCTTGTGGTACGGTATTGAGTTTCTTGTGTAGAAGGCTTCTGAATCAAATCTTTTCAGCCCATGGTCCAGTCTCGCGATTATACGAGAGTATGGTGCTTGTCTGAAAAGTGAGACGTAATTTTCATAGACTCCTGACCTTCTTGAAGAAAAATGATTGCTTGTACGGGCTTTAGGTTTTCATCATACTTCATAGTTTCAGTCCAAGGCCATAACATCAACAAATTGTCTTACTAAAAGAATGCATCACCAATCAGCAGTTCTCTGTATGATCAACATCAATCCTGATTTACCCCTGGATAGAAATAACATGGACATTTTTTTCTTGAGATGCAGGAGGAGGCAAGAAGAATAGCCGCCGCCAACGAAACCAGGTTCTCGATATGTCATTATGGAAATATTCTCAGCAATATCCTGGTATGTTGACAAAATGGACTTTTCCCACACAAGCTTTGTCCTTAGATGCGTTGGTTGGAGGTAGTGTTTTGAGGTAAACGTTTTAACTTTGAGAGATCACACCAAAAAACATCAAGTTTCAATTTCTCAAGAGAATGTAAACAAGAAATAGAACGAAGAGATTTCCTCAAAACGAGATATTATTCTTCAGCCATCCGAACTTAACATTCAACAGGCCAAAATGTACATTCTCAGGACCCAGATACCAAGCATCTACGGTTAGGAATGCTACTTAACGGGACGATGACTTCTATTCTTACTCTGGAGTTGAAAGCTGACGACATCTCTTTCTTCAATAGGTCCGTAAATTTGCCCAGTTCTCGGAGGATTCCTTCTGAAGCACCTCCATGATCATGAAGTCCGTCACCTTTGTGATTTTATCAATGGTATCTCATTCGGTCTTCTTAGAGGTTGATGGTTTAAATGCGGCAAAGAGACCGGCAAGATAGGTGTTCTGAATCTATTCTGCCTTGATGGCTTCCATACTCGAGAGCCCTCAAAACGGTTTCCATCACTTGTTCAATCTTGACATGACTAAGAAAAAATATCTGTATGGGTTGTTTTATTATCTCTTTGTCCCTGACTGAATTGTGCCATAAGTGTTGGAGGATTCCGAGCAGGACGACAGGCAGGATTCTCGAAGCATTTGCTCGAATAGATTCAAGGCGAAAGGGCGTTACCTTGATTGTGAAGCTCACAAACCTTGGCTGGCAGACTGCCGGCTTTATTGTACAGGTATCGTGTGGTTACTACTGTTGGTAGATTGGTAGCCAAATTGTGTGCTGGCATCTTTGCTGTATCCACGATATTGATGTAGAAACGTGATTCCTCACAAGCAATTTTCAATGATTTAAGATTCCTTATGTGATATGCAACGTCTCGTTGAAGATGTGACTAAGCACCTGCTTGTTTCCACTTCATAGATAGGTTGCATGTGACTAGTGTAAAGCCATCAGTTCATCTTTGGGGCTTGTAACTCATTTTAAAATTTTGACGACAGCACACTTTTTAATTTCTCGACAAAAAAATTTGTGTTTTGGTTATCCCTGTCCAACAATCGTCTTATGTTTTAGATATCACTCCCGGTCAAGGCGTTGAACCTAGCTCAATCTTTCTAGAAAAATTGGAATTGGGTTCCCTTCCCTTCCGCTACCTGATCTTAGTCTTGGTTTTCTCACTTGCAGGTGGACTCTTGTTCAGATGGGATAGATCTCATCCTGCCAGTAAATCCCGTCCGCAATTCTTTTGCATGGGCTTCATTGCCCTTAACACTTGTCGTGATCTGATTGTGTTTCTTATTTCAAACTGTACTTTTTAGCTTTCAAAATTTTTTAAGATCCAAGTCTCATATTCGTAATTGTCTTGATAATGCATTTGTAATTGGACCATTCAGGCTAAGAACGTCTCGCTTCCCGTCCCAGCAGTTTCATCGCTGGTCTCATTGGATTTACTCCGAACGGATGAAATTGTCAGTTCTTACTGGTGTGAAGGTACATCGAAAATTGTTTTCCTTTGCGTGTACGTTATCAGTTGATAAAGGTGGATTGGCTCGTTGGTTCCATTAGCAGAAAATAATACTACGTACTTTTTGCACACAGTGTCACTATTTGATACTATGGGTGTGAAACAAGATGGTATTGAAGTGAAGTTCAATTTAGTGGCCAGCCGGCACGGCCATAGATACAAGGTTTGTGAAATTCTCCGAAGTTTCTTTTGTTTTACTCTTGAAGCTGCTGGTTGATGGAGCTCGAATACTGTGAGAAATAGAATCCGGTAATTGAGTTTCTCTTTTGAACGTTCTTATATATTGAGATTTATGAATAAGTCTCGAGGTTAAAGACTGTAAATAGTCTGATCCCGCCCACGTTTTAATCAGTTGGCAGCTGCAGATTTCCGGCCACATTTTGTTATGTTGGATGATTATGCTGCAGACCAGGCTGCAGCCCCGAATTCGTCTGATGCAGCACCTGTACCGCCAAACAACACTGGAGGATTCTGTTTTGGTCTCTGCTGGCTTTTTGGGACTGGCAACTCAACAACAAGTTATGTTAACTGGACTTGCGGGTACCATCTCAAGCTCATGCCATATATCTCTACAGGCCCTGTATAGATGTATAATGGTCTTTTGCATTTGCCTCTCGTAGCATGAAAGAGTGATCGTAAACTTTGGAAACGAAAATTTGTCATTGTGCATATGAGCCACGTAAGTGTGTCGATTTTGTTAAAAGTAGGGTCCTGTTGTTTCATGTAGACCAGGCACAGCTCAAGTGTAGGTGGTGCATGTAACTTGATTTCAGTGTAAAATTGTATTAACTTGGGAATATTGTTAAGCTCACAAGATCAAATGGTATTTAAAAATCATGCCTGTCACAGCGTGATTATCATACAGCCCAGGTGGAGTGGATATATAATAAACAGACCAAAATCTACACCAGTAGTTGTCATGCTCACAAGGGACATAGATTCTCTCGGCTTCATACCATGCGTTCTCATTGACTAGTCATATATTGTACACCACGTTGGGGTTACTCTTCTTCTTCATATATCTTTGCCTTCTCACCCTCTTAACCCAGCTGTTCGGATTGGAACCTCTATGCGTTGGATCTAGTTAGGGAGACCGCCTTAGTGTTCTCAAAACAAGCGGTATAAAAGGGTGTGCTGATCCACTGCAGCCCTACCCTGAGCTGCACAGTGCAAACATAGTTAGAATTAGTTGTACATGTGAACTGGAACTGTGAAGGTGGTACCTACTTGGTGCAGTGGCTGCAATCCAATGCAGTAGTACTGGAAGCCCAAGAAGTCGCGTTGAAAAAGGACGGAACAAATAATAAGGCTTGACACACAAATGTATCCAACGCTATGCATGAAGGTGGTTCAGTAGAGGACCTGCCGTAAGCCAAGTCTGCTTTATCTTCCGGCAAGGTCCAGCATGTTTGTTGCCATCACGTGTTTTCGCAGGCTCGTTTACATCACAAGACTTCAGAGAGTCTCTCTGTGGGTTCTTAGGGGCTGGTGTCTGGTGCAGGAACTGCACTAAAAGCGTGATAAAAGGTTTTGCCTGCTACATCCGAAACTACTGCTGGAAGCCAGTCATGATCGTATTTGGGGCACTCCTCACAACGGTTTTAAGTACACAGATGCTGCCTCCAGTAACTTTCAATTTTGCTGTACACTTTTGAGTTTTGTAGAGGTCGACCATGCCGCTTTTCCATGCAGTTTTTGTGTCTGCCGCCAAAAGCCTGGAAGCTTTCTTACAATCTACGTTGAAATGCAGTTGTGATTGGAATCTACCTGGTGTGGCAAGCTGACCAACTGGGACCAACTGGGCAAAAGGCGTTGGCCATGATGAAGGCTGCCTTCGCGAAGATTTCGGGGAAAGATGCAGCTAAAGGGACTGAGGAGGACGGGGGACACGCTGAAGCCCAGAGCCAGGGCAGCAACGAAGATGGCTCAAAGTCTTCGAGTGCGTCAGAACCTGACGAGGGCTCAGGCTCGGGCTCTGGCTCAGACTCTGATGATGACGGTGATGGTGGATCCTCAAAATCTTCAAAATCTTCTAAAGAAGCCCGTTCGGGCAGTGTGTTTGGCGACTTTTTTTCCAATAACAAGAAGAGAAAGCGTACGGCTGGTTCGTTCACGTATTCTGAGATTTCTGAGGACGATGACGGCGATGGTGGTTCATCGAAATCATCCAAGTCTTCCAAGTCCTCTAAGGGATCGGGTGGCTTGCTCGGCAAATTTTTCTCCAAAAAAAGGAAACGCAAGGGCAAATCTTCCAGGAAAAAGAAGAAGAAGAAGAAGAAGAAGAAAAAGACGGGGTTCAAGTTCTCAGCCAAAGCCAAAGGCTTCCTGAGTATATTCAAAAAGAAGAAAAAGGAGAAAAGAGGGAAGGAGAAAGGGGAATCCAAGACGGGAAAGAAGAAAAAGGGAGGTTTTTTTGTGAGAGCCTTCAAGAGGGATCGAGGTGACTCCAAGAAGAAACCCAAGAAGATGTTTGGCTTCATGGATATGTTCAAACCAAAGAAAGGGGGCCGTAAGAAGAAAGACGACGGAGATGAGTCAGTCGAGAAAAAAGGCAAGAAGAAATCGAAACACAAAAAAAGAAAGAGCAGCACGTGGGGGGACTTTTCGAAGAAGAAAAGAAAGAAGAAGAAAAATAAGAAGAAGAATAAGAAGAAAAAGAAGAAGGCTGGAGGAAAGGGAGATCGGGAGGACGATGATACTGAGGAGGAAAATGAGAATGACGAAAATGATGAAAACGAAAACAACGAGGACTACTCTGGGAAAAAGGAAAGCTCGGACGGGGGAAAATTTTCTAAGTTCAAACAAGGTTTCTCGTCAGGTTTTTCGTCATTTTGGAACAAAATTAGAAGAAAGGAACAACCTACCACAAAAACGGACTCCGATGACAATACCGAAGAAAGGAATACAAACAAGGAGAGCGGAATGAATGATGACTCTGACAGTGATTCTGGAAAACACACCTCGGACTCTGGGTGGAAGAGCAGAAGGGGAAAGAAGAATAAGAAGGACAAAGGCCGAGGAGATGATGACTCAGATTCTGATATGAAGAACGAGAGAAAGAAGAAAAAGAAGAAGTACAAGGATGGTGCAGATAAGGACTCGGAGTCGACGAAGAAGAAAAAAAAGGGCAAGCATGGTGCAGATTCTGATTCAAAGGCAGACAAGAAGAAGAAAAAAAAGGGCGAGCATGGTGCAGATTCTGATTCAAAGGCAGACAAGAAGAAGAAGAAAAAGGGCGAGCATGGTGCAGATTCTGATTCAAAGGCAGACAAGAAGAAGAAAAAAAAGAAGAAGGCCAAGGACGGTGACGAGTCCGAAACCAAGAACGAAGCAAGTGAGATTCATGGGGATGATAGCGGAGCGCAAACGGATGAAGAGCAGACCAAGAGCTTTTGGGGCTTCTTTGGAAAGAAAAAGAAAAAGAAAGATGAAAAAGGTAAGAAGGGGAAGAAGGCGAAACAGAAGACGGAGAAAGATGATGAAGCGGAGATAGAAGGTAAGAGAGATGAAAGGAAGAAGAAGAAAGAAGGACAAGAAGAGGAGACCGATTGGTCGGGTATGCAACAGCTCGAAAACCTTCAACAACCACCATTGGCAGACCCTATGCAACAGGGTGGAATGCAGCAGGATCCATATTTTCCACAAAATGCATCAGGAAATCCTTGGGGTGATATGCAACAAGGGCCATTGCTAGATTACTTCGGATTCCCAGTTCAACCTCAATATTTTCCTCCACCTCCTCCTCCACCTCCTCCACCACTCGCCCCACGACTTTCATCCGCAGCCATCGAAGTGAAAGAGACGAAAAAGAAGAAAAAGAAAAAGAAGAAAAAGAAGGAGAAGGGGAACATAGCCAGTGCAGCCGATGTCTCACCTAGCCAGCAAACAGTCCATACTGCTGATGAGTCGCCAGCACCAGTGTCCCCTGTAGATGGAGCAGCTACAATCGACACACCAGAATTGCCGAATGTTTCCCAGGAACATGGGACCAAAAAGAAGAAGCACAAGAAGAACAAAAAGAAGAAGGCAAATAAACCAGAACAGACTCCCGAAGAATTGGCTGCAGAAATCGAGTCCAAACGAGCTGCAAGGAAGAAGAAGAAAGAGATTCACGGGGAGGATCCAGACGTATCTGGAATGCAGCAACTAGAAGTGCAAGAAATTACTGTGCATCCGGAGCCACTTGAAGAGAAACTGGTGTCGCCTGCAGAGACGGAACTAGCAGCTATACCAGATACACCAGACTTGACGGAGGTTCTACAGGAAGACGGCAGTAGAAAAAACCGCAAGAAGAACAAAAAGAAGGGACTAAAATCAGAACAGACACCTGAACAGATGGCTGCGGCTATTGAGGCCAAACGAGCTGAAAGGAAGAAGAAAAAAGAAGATTTAATGCAGTCTGAAGATCAAGCGCTGTCCGGGATGGAGCAACTGGAAGAACCAGCAATCATTACGCCTCCTCAGCCACTTTCGGAGCAACCACTGTTGTCTGACGACTCAGAGCTAGCAAATATAACAGATGCACCAGATTTCCCGGAAGCTGTCCAGGAAGACGGGATGAAGAAAAAGCACAAGAAGAAGAATAGAGCGTCGAAGGGACAAAAGCCACAACAGACACCTGAAGCCTTGGCTGTGGAAATTGAGATGAAACGAGCTGCACGGAAGAAGAAGAAAGAGATGCAGGCTGAGGAGCTAAACGTGTCTGGGATGGAGCAACTAGAAGAGCAAGCAATCAGTGTACCTCCTCAACCACTTGAGGAGCCACCCATGTTGTCTGAACAGATGGATGTGGCTGAGGAGCTAGACGTGTCTGGAATGGAGCAACCAGAAGAACAAGCACTCAGTGTGCCTCCTCAACCTCTTGGGGAGCTATCTGTGTTGTCTGAAGGGACAGAGCTCTCAGATATAACAGATGCACCAGATATCTCGGGAGTTGTCCAGGAAGACAGGAGGAAGAATAAGCGCAAGAAGAATAGAAAGTCGAAGGGACAAAAACCTCAGCAGACACCTGAAGCCCTGGCTTTGGAAATTGAGATGAAAAGAGCTGCGCGGAAGAAGAAGAAAGAGATGCAGACTGAGGAGCTAGACTTGTCTGGAATGCAGCAACTAGAAGAACAAGCAATCAGTGGGTCTCCTCAACCACTTGAGGAGCAACCCGTGTTTTCTGAACAGATGGATGTGGCTGAGGAGCTAGACGTGTATGGAATGGAGCAACTAGAAGAACAAGCAATCAGTGTGTCTCCTCAACCACTTGAGGGGCAAATCGTGTTGCCTGAACAGATGGATATGCCTGGACGGGTCGGGACGCCAGAAAAAGCGGGAAAGAAAGAGGAGAAGGTACAGAACCAAATGGCTCTTATGCAGCATCAACCCGAACTTTCACCAGATGACGGCGACTCGATGTTCAGCTCAATGTTTGCAGAAGACGAAACGCCAAAGTTTAACAGTTCTCTGCCCCAGGTAGCGCAGATAACTGGGCAAAGTGGAAAAAGGAAAACCCAGAGAGGACAAACACAATATGTGGCGCAGCAAGATGAAGGGGTTCCGAATCCATATTTACTGCAACCAGTTGTTAATGAAGGTCAACTACCACTTGATCCGATGCTCGAAGCAGATTTGGACCCTACGTCCAATGCTGGACAATGGGTGGAAGGACAATTTGGGGCAGTTCCTGGTTACACCATGTTAGATGGGCAGCATTCGAGTATTCCAGAAGATGCGAATTCGCTCAGTGATGCTCAGTTGACAGCGGAATTTGATCCTTCAATAGGGCTTGACCAGAAAAAATCGCAGCTCGTATTGCCATCCGAAGTTGTACAAATTGCCGAACTGTCGTTGCCAGAATCCGGTCTTCCTCCCATTGACCAGCCTGTTACGGACTTCAATCGTACGCCTGACCTCACTGCTACCAGTCTCCAACAAATAACGTCTCCTTCTGACCTAAGTACAAGTGTCCCACCTAATTATCCCGATCAACTCGAGCGAAACCTTCTTCCTGAGTCTACTACCTTGGCACCCATTTCGCCTTTTGTTCCTTTGCAAAAACCATCTTTTAAAGCAGGTCTCTCTCCTCAGAATCCCAGTTCTCCTCTTTCTTCCCAACAAAAACAACCGATTTCTCATCCACTCAAATCCAATTCACATCCTGCAGACGGCAGTCACCCAAATGCTCAAATCTCCCAGTACCAATCAAATGCCCCTCAACCAACTAGGCACGTTTCGTCTCTACCTAGCGGTGTACGTCCTCAGAGTCTAAATCCATCTACATCTACCTCTACTCCTACTATGAATCCACCTCCTCCTATTACTCCTCAACCGACTGCCCAATATCTCCAGACTTCTCTCTCTCAAAGAGTCCCTTCACAATCTCGTTCTCAGACTCAGACAGGCCAATCTTCTGGTACCCCACGTCGATCTCAAACTCCTAAATCTCCTTCTCCACCCCCTCCACCTCCTCAGACAAGCCAATCTCCTGGTACCCAACGTCGATCTCAAACTCCTAAATCTCCTCCTCCACCCCCTCCACCTCCTCAGACAAGCCAATCTCCTGGTACCCAACGTCGATCTCAAACTCCTCGATCTCCTCCTCCTCCTCCACCCCCTCCACCTCCTCCATCAAGTCAGCCCTATAAACTTCCTCCAGCTGGGAATCCTGGTTCTTCACATTCACAATCACCAACTCCCTATCTAACAGGAGGACAAGTTGATGACGAGATCAAAAGGATTGTGACATCTCGGAGCCTTGTTTTCTTCAACTCTGAGGTACACATATCCTCTGTTTCTGTTAGGGTGGACATATCTGTGAGAAGCAAACATACTGGAATACTTCTTGATCTTCAAATCCTTCCCCAGAACACGCGAACCGATGATGATGACTTCAGAAATGATACTTTCAACAGTCCTTGTGCACATGATACATTTCACTGCTACTCAGCCAGGATGAGTCACCTAAAGCTGGAGTTGATCGGAATATTGGAGGCCTTAAATTATAACTATCTCTGGAGAGATATGCCAGATTGGTCTGCTTTGATCTATCTAAAAGATCAGCTGTCCCTCCTCAGTTGGAACTAAGACAAAGAGCTCCCTCCGTGTCTTTAACTGTGTGTCTCTTGAAGTCTTTAGCTTCGAACAAATTGTACTCTGCTAAGCATGTGGATTTCTGAAGTCCAGCTGATAAGACAGTTCTTTCATTGCAGAATTTGCAGTTAGACAGATTCGCAAAGCATTCCGATCTTAATGGGCAGAACATCTCTGTCATTGGCATTCTAAGTGCTGCGCCAAATGGGAAGTTTATTTTCAAGCTGTCGAAAAGCTATGAAAATCGTGTGAAGGAAACCAAATCTGGAGTTCGTAACGAGACAATGGAATCTGTTGGAAACCTTCCTTGCTTTCATCAACTATTGACGGTAATCCAAGCGGCTCCTCTCTCGAACCTCCACCTTGGTGGAATATAAACGTTCATTTCCGTATTTGTGCACTACGTCCTACTTAAGCCTCCTATAGCCTCCTATAGCCTCCAGAGGACATTCTGCCTTTACATGGCTAAGTACTTTCCTGCCTCCTTCCGGAAAGAACCATCGGCGGAAACTCCATTACAACAATATACTACTTCATTGTTGGTCAGTCTGTATACATATACTGTCGTGTATATGTACGTTTATACAGACTGAGCAACAAGGGCGAGATAGGACCAGTTCTAAGAAAAATCTACGGTGAGTGGGTTCAGATTCTAGTAAACTGTATACTTATGTTTCAGATATAATTGAGGTAGCAACGAACACTGTAACGATTAAATGATTCTACGAGTTTGAGAAGTGAGATATCAAATAATCCCCCTACAAAACAGAAAAGCGGGTCCGGATCACTTATATGTGCAATTCTTTTCCCCATAAATAAAGAGACTTAGAATGAACACGGTATCTGGTGGAGGAATCTGTGTCGTTCGTGCTCAAATATGAAGCATACTCAGAAAACAGGTAGATGTTTTTGGTGCTCACCTTGGCTCACTTTTTGATACAGGTCAATCAAGCAAGGCAGTACATAAGCACGTCCCCACGCTTCAACTGCATCAACAAACTTTGACCACGACCCTCAGGTCAAGTACCACGAGATTTGTCACCATTATTACTGTCAAGCCGTCTAGAACATCATTGCTCTCGTGTAGACGGGTGACCTCATCGAGACGACTGTGCTTCAACACTTGATTCCAACACTGTTCGGAAAAACTACAGGTTGGTTACGGCTCGGGTATCGGTGTCTGACTACATAAAGTTTGACTAGAAACGAAGGGTAGGAAGTAGTGGTCTTTGACTAGAAATCAGCATTTCAATTATATAGTCAGTGAATCACGTCAAACTTACAACTTCTGCTTTGTAATTATACTTGTTCTTACTTACTTCTTACTAACTTAGCGGACTTGACCTCGAAACGAAATCAGGACAGGACATGGATAGGCTGTAAATTTTTGGCACGCCACGATAGTCTCCTATTGTTCTAAGAGCAGTGAGAAGAGACGAAAGTTATAATATCTTCCTGCCATGCTGTATGGTAACTATAAAAATCCATATTTGGTAATCCGTTCTTGCTTACGCAGATTGCCAATACATCCAATCCAGTCCAGACAAGATCTAGTGCAGGAAGGAGGAAAAAAATCAGAATAGTTTGGAAAACGCATACCTGTATCTGCATCGTTGCGGTTAGAATCTCCCATTCATCTCTCACCTGCTTCTCAACTCGTTCGAAGTAAAGCATCACCTGTGAGACTCCGATCAAGAAATGATAACAGCCTTCCTTCTCCAGTGGAGGTATTTGTCTAACCCTTGAGCGCTTTCTCAAGCATGAACATTGTTTGCAGTGAGACAGAAATAATAGAATCTTAATTTTGAAACTCTGGTTCGACCGAACGCAAAGACATTACATCGGGAAAGTTCGCAACCTTGAGCACGTTGTTGGCTCTCTTTGATGGTCCTTCTTGTACCGTAGTCATCACGTTAACCGGATCCTATCCATAAAAAGCCATCACGAAGAAATGTCACATTTGAGCATATATCAGAGCAGACTCATAAGTGATGACAATGGCTTGAAATGACATTCTTATCACCGGCGACCAGGTCAATATCTTCAGAAACAGAAACTTTGCAGTGATAAGCGTTCATCGCCCTGCAACCAAAATCGATCTCCTTGTCACATGAATGTTGGTAAATGACGTTCACATATCTTCGAGCGGCCCTGAATCTTAAATAGTTTATAATTCATACGCAAAACTTGCAATGAATGAAAATCATCTCACGTAAAAAACATATGACAGTGAGAACAAGTCGAAGAAAGTACCAGCAATTGAGACATGGAGAGACTTACAGAGATTAAACCACATGCAGGACCGGCATTAACTCACAAAAAGTAAGCGTATTGTAGCATACAGAGAGATCTCTATCGCCAACATGAATCTTAAAAAGTATTATCGATGCAGTCGTACAAGTCTTAGAGCCAGTTACAGGGATAGGCTTGGAAAGTCTCGACAGAATTAAACGAGGGGAGCTTCTTCGAGTGAGAGAGGTGTAACATACTCACATCTTTACATCACACTGTTCTTGACGCAATCGTATCGGTTTTGGCGTTCCGAGCACTGTTTCTTCGCTACGGTCACAGGTGAGCCGCAAGAATAAGACTGCAGCAATAGTATGTAATGTGATGATGCCGTATTTATCTCAGACAACATGGTTCATCTTGCGACGCGACTCATCTTAGATTCCTGCATACTGATTCTCATATGATGCATTCGCCCAATATATTCCGCATACTACGCAACAGGTTCTACACCACTTACAATTCTCGAATGGTTTGACATAATCTTAATCAGCTTGCTGATTTAAGATTTAGGTTCTTCACTTTAGATTTGTATAGACATTAGAAGTTCAAAACCAAAGTTTGAAGGTTATCCACATTTTGTAGTGACAGAGTTCGACTATATTACAGACATTGAAAAAGCTTCAATAGAATGAGAGCTCTACAGTGGGCGGAAGCTTGTTGATGATGATAATCACCAATTTATGAAATTATTTGTTTATCAAAGAGCTTTGCACAAAAATCAAGGAGCAGAATCCATCTGGCGAAGGAGCTATGTCGTCACACGCCAATCCGATGGTGGAAAAGCTCATTCCTGAGTGGAGTTGGCAACGCAAGAGTGTCGAGCAAATCTTCCACACAAGGAGCCAATATCATAGTATGAGGATTTGCCGATTGAGCATCGAACAGGAATATATGGGGGCCGATGATGTGAGAGTTGCGCTTTTGACCTCACGTTTAGGTTCGATACATCTGTCTAGTGGTGCATTTGGGAACATCGATAAACAAAATGCTGGCGATTGCTCCGAAAGGGAGGCCAGCAATCTGCAGACCACTCGATCGAAGTGTGCTCATGTTCGGGCGTAGTCGAGTGTGACATGACGATGAATGGAGAATCAGATGTACCAGCCTCACAAAACTTGTGCTTAAATGTAATCGACGAATTTTGAAAACCAAAACTTTGTTCCATGTATGTTAAACAAGATTACGAACAATATAACCAAAATTTAATCAATTAAACATGCATGGAGTTTACGGACTGCTGATTTTATTCATTAGTCATTTGTTTCAATATTATTTGAAAGGTTTTAGATTACCCTTCAGATGAATATTTGAATCACTGTAATTTATATCCCACTATTTTTAAAATCTTCGATTGTACAAATCAACAACCAAAACAAGAAAGTCGTAGAGATTGATTTTTATAAATAAGCTTAAATATCATAAAGATTATCTCTTTTTATCTGAAACTGTAATTCTAATTTTCTAATTTTGATTATAGTTACATATTTATATATGTTCATATAATTTTGATAATATTTGAATTTTAATTCTATGGTTTTACTAGAAATTTTCTAAACACGTTTAAATTATTTTAAATAATTGAGAAAGTCAGATTTGTAGAATTCTAATTACATGAGTTATTCTAATAATTGTTTTCAGGGTAAATTAGTTAAATTTATTTTTTACTTTTCCATTAATTTTACTTATAAATTATGACATTCATATTGAAAAATCTGCAAAAGAAATTAGAAATAATCTAAATCACTAAATATATTTTATACCTGAAAGATGTGATGTATTAAATACAGTGTATGCACATTGCATTCAAGAATGAAAAATTGTTTACAAAAATTCATATGAAATGAGAAAAATAATAATTTTGAAGATTGTACTATCTAAAGCCATGTACTCAAACCAAAACAAAGATCGATGGATAATTTAGATATCTGTAAAGCAATTAATAGACAAGCTGGTTTGACAATGAAACCGACTGCAGCCATGGAACTAACCACCATTTATTAGAGCAGCAAAATTCATCTTAATTCCTCAAATTAATCTTAGGACTTGAATAAGTAATTGTATAACATATATGTAAACCAAAACGTAATGTGATGTATTTGTGTCGATGCGAGATATTCGACTTCTTGTGATATTTGACATGACATTGTGTATTTTTTGATGCAATTTTTCTACATAATATTCAATTCATAGTATCGTAATGACATCTTTGATGATGTCTTTGAAATAAACCGTATAGTACATTCCAAAGACATCATGCTTTTGTATCAACCGTTTTCGATCAAAACCACATTTTTCAATGTCTTTCTTTCTGGAAAAAGTCTGCCAAATATTAGTAACATTTACTATCATCTCATTCACGAGACGAAAGAAAGCAAGGTTCTCATGCATTCTTCTTAAATAGTAGCATCACTTTTAAACTCAAATATTGGCCGCTATTGAAGACTGAGCAGAAGAATCCGTAGTATAGAGTAATGTATCATTTTAAAACAAGAATTTTACTCTATCTTAATCTACTTTAATAAAATTCTTCTCACTGCTCTGTCAGAAGAAAATAAAAATTTCTAATTCCATCTAAATCGCTCTACATAAATCCACTAATTAATACAATATATAAGACATTGATAAAACTAACTGATGGTTATTGAATCTGTCTGGAAGAATCACTATCTAAAACGATCTATGAAACGACTATCAAAACATTTTCCAATATAACTTAGTTAACGAATTAAAAGCTTGCAGATATTGAGGTGAAGTTGGGGATCTAGCCATGCCTATAGGACTCGACAGGGTCTGGCAATATTACTGGGTCCTGAATAAAGTGCCGATTGTCGAGAGGCAGGGGAGTCCAGCCATGGAGTGAACTGCTGCGTGAGCCAGCTGATCAGAAACTCCAGCTGCAGCCCAGCTCTGCTTTTGTGGTGATGGACATTGTGCAGGCAGCTGCGGTGTCCTGGCACCCGAGAGCTTCGACGTCGTCGTCGGGCTCGGGTCTGAATTGCACTCGCGCTCAGGTGCGAGATGCCTTTCGTGGGGACATTGGGAGGAGAGAAATCTCGTGTAGACTGAGATTGAGTGATCCTCGCAGGACGGCGGGTCGTGAGCAATATTTTGCCAGCACGACGAGATGGCAGAAGAGTGGAGCAGCGAGGATTGTGGTGAATTCGATGAAGACGGATGCCGACGAGGTGCAGAAGGTGGAGGAGAAAGATGAAGAGAAAGGAGGCAGGAGTTTTTTGACTTTTTTGTGCCCGCTGCTGAAGCTTTTGGGAGTGAGCATTCATTTTTACATTCACTCTATTTGCATTTCTTTTACTCTTCTCGATTTTATAGTTCGAAGAAAATTGAGTTTTGCTCCTTTATTTTTCTCGTTGTGGGGAATTTGGTTCATTGGTCAATTTCCATAATTGTGCCTTAGTGAGCTGCCAAACTGCAGAGAACAAGAACCGTGCGTAATGCAAAACTAACTTGAATTCAGATGAATTTGGTTCTCTCTCTGGTGTTAGACGCTCATGCAACTTTCTTCCATAGGGGCTGAATGATTCTCTTACTCGCAAATTCAGTGGTTTCATTCGAGTTCTTTATCTTGGGAATGTCTAGGAACAATGCTGAACAAGAATTTCAGTTCATGATCCACATGGGTTTTCCATCTTCTTTTGACAGAGCGGGGATCCCGCGGCACCCAGAAATGTATTTCTTGAGGTACTTAGCCAATTCATATCTCCGTTGGCGAAATGGTATATTGATGATGGAAAAAAAGAAAATGCTCGCATGCTCTGTACTCGTGGATTGGAGCTAGAAATATTTGCGAACATTTGAGTTATCGGAATAAATCCAGTATGATCTTGTTGAGTCCTCACGACGTCTTCATTTCCTTGCATCCATTAAGAAAGAACGAACATTTGAGTTGAGTGTTTTGCTTCCTACATCTCTTTGATTCCTTGAGAACTCTAGAACCTAGAGCTAGGAGAGGTCAAGTGCATCCACCAGCGAGTTCCCAGAAAGTGGCAGATTGTATAGAGGTTGAAGCTATTTAGGAGCAGAATTGAAGCTGATGGTACCCAAGAGCACCAGAATAGCTTGGCCAGTTCGAAATCTCCCGCCACGAATCCTGGGATTTTTACAAGAAGAATCTGCCATCCGTTGACTATGAAGCTATTTGCATCTCATAAAAGTCAGCAAACCATTTGGACCACAGAGATGCGACAGTCATCATGTAATTGTCACAGATCGATGATCTGCTAGCTGTCGGAGTGTTTTTATACCAAAGTATACATGTTTCACCTTTTTGTTTCACCTGTAGACGACGACATCGGGATTTGCAAGCATTGCACGCTTGCCCTGGGGATCCAAGGTGAATGCTGAAGTTGTTGCAGAACGGGGGGAGACTGGACAGCCTCCTCAACTCCTTCAGCTGTATGAGTTTGGTAGGACTTAGAATGCTTCTCTGATGACGCTATATAGGTTATACAGCAACCTTTCCGAGGCAAGATGAAAGCTTGACATAGTCGTCCAACTGTCTCAATTTTAAAACATTCAGATTATGTTCCCGGCAGCTTCTTTTGAGTAGGAGTCGCCAACTTCCATGTCAAGAATCGTTGCCACCTGATGAGGAGGCAAGATCTTGGCTCTGAGTTTGATATCCTGCTAATCTATCTTCACCATGCTTTGTGAACAGAGGCTTGTCCCTTCTGTAGGCGTGTGAGAGAAGCCTTGACCGAGCTCGATCTCTCAGTAGAGGTTACATGTCCTGCCTTCCAGTTGATTCATTCCTTTGTAGCACGCAATGATTGATTTCCAGATTGATTTCCAGATCGCAAGGGTACCGTATGAATGAAGAGAACTTTCCATGATTGCTCATTAGAAATATCTACAGAACTTCACTGGGCTCCACTCTACCCCTGTGATCTCTACCATGAGCAGTTATTTTATACTATATGATTGCAGGTTTACCCCTGCCCCAAAGGATCTTTGAAGCATCGGGATTTTGTGAAGAAAAATGGTGGTCAAGAACAGTTCGGTTCCTACCTTGTTCTGTGTCCTAGAAAGTAGTTCCGTGTGCTGCAGAGAGTTTCAAACAAGCTTCTTTTCCGCTACAGTAAAGTCTTTGTGATTTCCTTGGAATATATCGTCCTTGCAAATGGAGAACTGGTGAATGCGAATGCTTCTAAATTCTTAATTCGGAAACAGACGTAGAGACTAGTTTGGAAAACTTAGTCAAAGGGACTGCAGTGCCTTTTCCAGTGTAATATGCTTTCTGATGTCTTTTCTCAATGAGCATCTGGTAGCCTAAATTTTAAAACATCACCATGTTGTCTTGCTCCGCAGATTCCCATATCTTATTGATCCCAACACCGGAGCATCAATGTTTGAAAGCTGTAAGTAATCTGAGCTCAAATAAGTGTCTGAAAGAATTCAATTATGCCAGTCGGAAAAGCTTACTCTAGAAATCGTACGTAGTGTATTCAGTACCCATTGCTGGTATCCTTGTCTCTGAGACATCTTCTTACTGTGTTCCAGCAGAAATAGTGAGTTATCTATTCAAACAGTATGGTGGCGGTAGAGAACCTTCCCCGGGTCTTCTCGAGAGGTAATTGGACATTTGTTGCATGCACTTTGTTATAAAATTCCTCTACTGCGTGACTTCAAATTGATCTAAGAACAGTAACTCTGTAGCGTGCACAAGATACTTTGTTCAGTATGAGAAAGCTTCCTTCTGTGCTCAGGTAACCTCTGTTCACGTAAATCTGCCGTTTATAATGCCTGGAACCCTGACACCGAATGTTGGTTGTGTAGCACTCTAGTAACTGGATGGGTTCCAACAATCCTGCGCGCAGGGAGGGGCATGATGTTGTATTCCAAAGCTTCATCAGATACACCTTCGCAGAAACTGGAATTGTATTCGTATGAGAACAACCAGGTGAGAAGAAGTCTCACGCAACAGAGTGGGTGAGGTGAAAATATCTTTGGCAACTTTAAGCTTGGAGTCACAGGTTTACGTGAAGGTCAGGAGATTCGCTACAAGTGGATTCCTATGTAGAGTCAGTATCAGCAGTCAGGGGGGGGGGGGGGAGGGAATTCCTACGGATGTCAACGCCTCTCCAATCGGAGTATCATAAATGTATGAATAGTTTGCCTGGGCATCGAGGTTCGAAGGGGTGGCGTTGGTTTGATGTGATCTTTGCTAATCGCTCGAGCATGTGTGAGAATGGAGGTGGAAGTGAAGATCCTTTTCATTTTCCCTTGTGACGTACGTTAGAACTGAGATTCCCCGCAGATCTGCTGAGTGACGGCAGATTACTTCACAAGCCACACTGTTAAAGAAAATTCTGCGCTTGTCTGCCACAGTTTGCTCGATTGGTACGGGAGACACTGTGCGAACTGGAGATCCCTTATATTTTGCGAAACGCAGGCAAAGGTTCGGCTTTGAGAGGTTCATTGCTCAAACTCGCAGGATCTACGAAGGTGCGTTTGTCTCTTCTCGTGTCACTCACAGTTCTGCAGATCATGATCATGTGTCTTTAAAGCAGAAGACGTTTCTTCTGCAACGAGCGTCACAATGTACATCTTACTTTGATTTCTCCTCGCTGGCGCAGGTTCCCTATTTGGTAGATCCAAATACTGGAAGGTCCATGGGCGAATCTCAGGATATCATTTCCTACTTATTTGCTACCTATGGAGTCAAAAACTGAGGGAGAAGCTAGTGGTGCCATTCTCCATAAGCTCCGTACGTGAACAGGACTGTATTAGCAGTTCAGTTGGCACCTGGTGTTTCGCGTGACAGATGCGTTGCAGGCACTGACCATAGGTGGAACACGTTTGTACAATGTTAAGCAAGTTGTGACTATGTATCTTTTGTTATAAAATGACGTGAGTCTTCGCAAGTGTATGAATAATTGCCCCTTCTCAGCAGTACATTCATCATCTGTCGTTAGCGGTAGCACGTCGCGCCCATACAATCCTCCTGCAGCTGTCAATGAGCTTCGGTGTGATCGAATGCTTCGAATGCAACGCTCTTAATGTTATTTCAAATTCATACGTGCCTCGCAATTGCATCCAATCATCATATATTGACCTGACCAATTGTTGACTGAGGTCCGAACAATTGTACGCAGAGTGTGCTCATTTTGAAAAATGTCAGGTGCGGAAGTAATCGTCGAATAGAATATAACTTGCTCTCAATGGTGGATTGAATATGAATTGTCTCACAACCAGGTTCTATCTCTATGGCAGCAATGGTCTCTCTGGTCTCCCTTAAAACTCGCCTACATTTACTCTGTCTGTACTTCGTTCGGCAACAGTCGTCCCGGCGATGAAGCCTCCAGTCCAAGCGTTCTACACACATCACCAATTCATGCCTTTGAACTCAGTTCACAATAATAACTCAGGACAGTGCCGTGGAAAGTGCAACACGGTCAAGGACTGTGAAGCAAGTTTGAAAATAATTGAGCCCAGATGAAGAGGTACAATGGTAGGTCAGCGGACACAGTCTGATGCGATAGACAAGCTGACACTCGGACGTTGCTACGTGCTTTTGACGCGTAATTAGGCCACAAGGTCCGACGCTATGCTTCAGTCAGATCGTCTGTCCACGAGACCCTCCACATACCTGGAAGTTGAACCCTCCAGTCACTCCATCCACATCCAGTATCTGGCCATGGCAAGCAGTTCAGTTCAGTTCAGTTCAGTTCAAAGAGGACAATTCAGAGAAGGCAGTCGGTCGCTCGCTCAGTCAGTCACTCTGGGGAATGCTTGCTTTTAGCTGGCATCTGCCATGCTACGGTGCATAACATAGCATCGTTGGTTCAGTGGTCAGCCACCAAGGACAAAATCCAAATTCTGATCTGCAATGCATTACAGGCCACATTGCTCTCGGTTCTGTCATGAACCACGAATCTACCTTCCAGCTTGCTACGAGCTTGAGATGGACACCATGAAAAATGAACAGAAGGGTCCTCACCTCTCCGGCGAAGAATAAACCGGGACAGATTCGGCTCTCCATCGTCTTCAAATTGACCTGCACAACCAAATCCAATCTTCAATGTCCTTGTGGCTGGATCGAGCGTTGACACTCTTTCCTCCTGCTGCTGCTACTGCTGATCCTGCTGATTCTGCTGTCCAATAGTGGCCTTCATCTCGACCTCGAAACCTGAAAAACCTGACATTGTCCGATCCCACTCACCTCCGCTAGAGGTACACCACCGGCAGTCACGAATTCGTCCTTGAACTCGCCCTGAAGAATAATCCCACCAACAAAGATTTTGGTCATCTTCCGATAAACCTGTAGGATAAACGAGCATGACATACATTGCATTCACATCTCTGTACAGACCCTGGCAACAGGAAACGCCAGGCCCAGAGCCCAGGGCCCACGATAGCAGGCCAGAGAAATCCTGCCACGAAATCGACGACGAGGACGCCAATGACGGTGATGACGACAACGACAAGCAATGCCGAGTAGCGAATCGAGGCCGGACGAGACGAGACGAGACGTAACCCGAGGGGACCCTGAGAGAATGACCGAGACAAGGACTCCGTAGTCTTTTGCCAGAATGCGTCACGTGACTGCATGTGATGTGTCGTCACCAGCAGTCAGCTCACCCATCACACGCTGTAAAAGCCTCTGGCTACTGTGCCTCAGCTCGTCCTCATCAATGTCCATAGCCACCAGGCTACAGCTTCCCTCCCCGCCCACTAGGGATCACGAGATGCTACCCATGGATCCTTCCATTAAATAACCCTCTCGCATCTTCAGAGCTGCTGACCCGCTCATGAGCGGTAGAGCATTCTTGACCAATATCTCTCCCCGTCTCTATCGATGCATTTGAACAGATCTATCTGCATCATTCATAACTCCATCTCTCCAAACCATCTGTTCTCTTCATTATGGCGTATGTACCTTTGTACACGTATCATCACGAAGCTCTTGACCAATATCTCTCCCCGTCTCTATCGATGCATTTGAACAGATCTATCTGCATCATTCATAACTCCATCTCTCCAAACCATCTGTTCTCTTCATTATGGCGTATGTACCTTTGTACACGTATCATCACGAAGCTCTATGCACCAAACACGATGGTTACCAAAGAATGAAGTAGAGGCATAATGGCAAGCCGATATACGAGCGAGTGAATAGGAAATGATCAAAATCAATATCAGGTGATCTGATCGGACATTACAGAGTTTGATATCTCTCTCTCTCTCTCTCTCTCTCTCTCTCTCTGCCCCACCTACTTTCAATTGGTAAGGGAAGCTGTGGCACTTGGCCGGGTCCTGAGATTGTGTCGCGTTTTGAGAATTGCAGTGAACGAACATGCAGTGGGTGGATGGGGAGGTCACCATCTAGAAATTGCGAGAATCTAGGGAGGTCAAGGTACAGCAGGAGCTGAGAGAGTTGCTTACTTTTCCACTCACGGAGAAGGGACATCTCTTGAGAAGCAATGCCAACTCGTGCAGTACCTTCGTTGAGACTCTTGCCCATTTCATGTCCCTGTCCAGGCCCTGCAACCGTACGAGTGTCAGGTGACAACAGTGTCTTGCGAATGCTCAGTGATTCCAAACGATTTTGTGGCCATTTGGCAAGCTTTCTGTCGTTCATCATCCAGCACTCCTCGAGTTCTCTGTTAGGCTTGATCTTGCATTAGACTTATGGATCGAAAATTAAGCTCACCTGCCTCTCTAGAAGGTAGATCCAGAATCTTTTCACAAGGGGCAACTTCTCTGGAGAATAGCTGCCCATATTACTCTTCTGTGCACCCACCCACGCATACAGAAAATGTAAGATTCATCAAGTTGGTGAGCGATTTCAAAAAAAGAGGGTCGGTAATCCCTTCACTTCACATATCACTGAGCTGAAATGGTCAACAGCTTCCAAAGATAATAAAATCAAGACATTACCTGCGAATCTTGCTTGTGTTTCACCAGGAGCGCTTTTAGCTCTTCCAATTCTATGTTCGGTGTGAAATCCACCCATAGGACACCTGAAAGCATTTATAAGTCCATAGTGGCCACTGTTAGGTTGACAAAAATCCAGATATCATAGATAGGACCTGAGACTAGCATTCCAAAGAAAATCATGTTCGCATCTTATACTCGTCATCTAGAGGGAATACGACGTGTACATGTATACTTGGAGGAAAAGAGATGACGAGCAGCCCAGGCAGAAAGACGAAGGACAACCGGTCCACTAAAACCCCAGTGCGTAATCAGCAAGGGACCATCCTGAAAATGCACGACCACGTAACGTAATCAGAAAAAATCTGATGAAGCGATGAACAAACGACTTCTGTAACCATTTCTAATAACACTGCAGGACAGACTCAATAGGTGGACGATAAGATGTGCTATCAAAGTCGGATCATGTCATATATGCTTTTAAAAATTACATTGCCGCCAAATGCGTACTGAAAATATGCACCTACAAAGCCCCCCTGTTGTGAAATCTAGCTCATGTTTTGATTGTCTGACATATTTCACCAATACAAGTGTAGAAGGCACTGAGAACAGCAAAATCAAAACCTGGACCAGTTCGGGATGGCGCTGCTTTTGATTTGGTAGCTCTAGCTCTGCTTTCACCCTTTGGAAACTGACCTGCATATAGAAGGAAAAAACTTTGAGCAGGAAAAATCACGACTTGAGCATTGGTGCTTTGGATAGGTCGGTTAGTGGTGAAATCTTCAGTGTCGAGTACCAGTTACTCGACATTCACATCAATGACCGCCACCAATGTGGAAACTCAATAGTGAGAGCTTACCCCCGCAAGTTCTGTCAGAGCTTTATCCATAACTTTGAAGGAGAAAAGACTTGGAACTGGCTCAATTATCGAGTGTCCGAGGTCCCTAGCAATTTTGTAGCCCTGCAGAGGACAACTCAATGGTTAACAATGGCTGTCCTGATAGATCCCTCAAAGTTGCCTTCATCTGACCACTGCTCATTGATTGTGTCGTTAGGATCTTCAGTCCCCTGTCAAGGGTAGTGTTGAGAAAACTTCACAGAATTCAGATACAACTCCGGATGCGTATGAAAGCATTCAGTGAATCACTTGTAAGTGCAGGCTATACATTCTAGAAACCAACTTACGGTGTCAACGCAAGCTGAGGCCCACCTGCGATGCGCTCCCAGTTGCAAGAAGCACAGAGCCCGCTTGCACAACATTCTTCCCACCTGAATCAACTGCTCCTCTGCTAACTTCAAACGTCTGGCCCTTGCGGGAGACATTGAGAACAGGAGCCTTAGTCTGCAGAACCACTGCGAAAACTTCAAAATGAGGAAGCTCATCTGCTACCAAGAGGCTCCCCAGAAGCAGACTACCTCACGATGGACGCTTACATAAATTTACCCAAAATGAAACCTGGCACATCGGGTTGAGAATGTAGTGATATAATTTATCCCCATATGGCTTGAAAGAGGCCATTCCTCAATTCCAATCGAATGACTCATTATAATTTATTTCGAAAATTTGGATTTAAGATACGTATCATGGAAAAATATTTTGTTTTTGAACACGAGCACCGTGAATAGGTTGGAAAACTGTATTGAGGTACCAAACCACCGATATCCCCATACCATTGATGCGCTTGGCCTCTTGCAGCAGACAATCTATGATGCTGGCCGAGCTGTTGCTTTGTGGAAACATTCTTCCATCACTCTCTGTCTGATTCGACGAAAGGACCAAGCCAGAAGGGCAAATTAGTTCAGCTGGAACAGATACAGCGTACGAATCCATGAAAACCTAGGGACTTTTAGATCAAGAAGAAGGTGCAAGTAGACGAGCAATCATGGAGGAAAACGCATGCTATAATACCTTCAGAGCTACCCCACGTTGAGTGAACCATGCAGCTGTGTCAGCAGGTCCATGAGTGAGGAAGTAAGAACCACGAAGCTCTTTGTGGCCCCTTGGATACTGGCCTGCCAAAGGCTGTACAGATCCTTCACAGTTAAAATCTACGGCTGATACCTAACTGAGATTAGATAGCTCTCCCAAATTTGAGCACAAGCAGTGACAAACAGAGCCCTTCGAGTACGTCCTGAATTCGACTTACCACGAAAGCTCTACACTTTGAAGCTTTCCAAAATTCGAATGAAAAGCTGGCTTCCAGTCATTGAATCACGAAAATCTATCATCAGCCACGCCTAGAGATGCATTTCCCACGAGGTACAGGGACAAGCAGAGCATCACTCAAACATCCCACGATACCTTAGGATCCTGAAAGAGACCAGTCGTAACATTGCAGCGACCTCCACCTGAAATTCGAACCTACGCACGAGAGTTCCAGCACAGAGTTGAGAATCCTGCTGCCAACGCTTTGCTCAAATTCACGATTCCAAACCCTGTCCTCCCTTCGATGTTTCAAAAGCATTCGCCAAGTTTCTGTCCAAGGATCACAAACTTCACCATACGCGTGCAAAACCACTGAATGGAGTCCAAGTTCCGAGAGCGCGAGACATGCTCGCCGATGCATCCTCTCAAACAATTACAGCAGTAATCCCATGGAGTAGCAATTTGACACTGCGAAGTGAAAGCTGGGGTTCAAACCAGGTGGAAAATTCGCTATCCAAAACCCGCGGGACGAACCGTACGCACCTTAGACAGAAGCTGTCCCTTCTCGAGAACGAGAACTTCGAGGTGGGGACAGAGACTTTTGGCTCTCAAGGCTCCATACACACCAGCAGCTCCACCCCCGACCACGACCAGCCTCTGTTGCTCATCACCTGTGTCGAAGTTTGCCGAGGTTTGCCCACAGTTTTGAGAACACAGCACGGCCAAATCACATAATTGAGGAGCAGCAGGGGCCCACAAGATCACATTCACCCCAGTTCCTTCCTGTTACTCCGAGCCCTTCCATATTCGAGCAATTCCCTTTATCTTTCGAGGACTGAATTCAACCCATGTGGTAAATCCGGGCCTCAAGCCTCAAATATACAATTTCAGCCGGCCCGACTTCTAGGTGACACAATCTATGCGGATAAACAAAGGCGATGGCATCCGCGAGTGATGCAGTGATACCGTTGCCAGATGGGAAAAAGATTTCAGCATTCAGGGCTCCTCCAACAGAATTCGATTACTCCGGAGAGAAGAGACAAATTGGAGAAGGAACAGCCGCAAAAAAGCATAAATGAAAGACCAAAACAACCATAAAAATACCACAGATACCTGCAGCAGCAGCAGTGGCAGAGAAGGGATCAGCGTGGGTGAATGTGGAGGAGCAGCATCTCCAACGCAGCCTCGATTCGCCTCGCTGTGAACTCCTCTCACTCTTATTAAAATTATTGTTTTTATTAATCACCTTCACCGACTTCTTCAAACGTCGGTCAAGATCACAGAAGTCTGCTGCTGCTGATGCTGCAAAGTGAATCGATCCGCCCGCACTTCCTCTCAGGTCCACACCACTACTACTGCAACTCCACATTGCGTGAATTGAAATTGCTACTCAATTCAAAGTACCATCCTACGTCGCATTCACCTCCAGGACGACCAGGACGACCGAGCAGCACCTCCTCGTCCTCCTCGTCCTCCTCCCTCCCTCCCTCACTGCCCCCTGTCACAACATTCGGCCTCCTCAGACCGAGAATATCTCAGCACTGAGAGTATATTCACGTGAAAATGCAAGTGGCTGAATTTGCGTTCGCAGTAATAATTGTTTGCAACCATCAACCTCCTACTATCCCTCCCTCCCCGCCCGCCAGGCAAGCAAGCTGCCTGGCTGCCTGCCGCTGCTGCTGCTGCTGCTGCTGCTCTGCTCTGATCTGATCGGCTCCGGTAATGAAAGAAAGAATGATGATTTTGACTTATCAAAATTCGTACAAGCTGAGCTGAGGAATCTGCAAACGCAGGCAGGCACGCAGGCAGGGGTGGTTTCGAACCCCGAGATATGATCCTTTCTGATTCCCCCTTTCTGAACTGTCACAGGAGAGGATAAATCAGACCCCAGCTTCACATGTCTGTCTGTCTGTCAGTCAGTATGCCTACTCTCTCTCCCTCCCTCCCTCCCTCCCTCACTCAACTCACGCATTCACTTCATTTCACCACACCACAACTACAATACACTACACTAGTCTAATCTTAGTCCCCTTCACCGCAGTACACTTCTACTCCACTTCTACTTCTACTTCCATATCTACAGCTCGCATGAGTTCAAGACCACCACTAACTACCACTCTCCACTCCACTCCACTCCACTCCACTCCACTCCACTCGGCTACTCTACATTAATTTACATTACGTCGCATCCCAGTACCAGCAGCAGCAAGCTTTCCCGATCCCGTAATCGGCTCTCTGGACTTTTAGTTACGCTCGCACAGAGCTGGGACCATCGCTGGCTGCTGCTGCATTTCGAGCCCACACGGCACCTCGCCTCCCCTACACGTAGACGCGAGATAAGGATCCAACCGACTGCACATGAACTTAGCTTTTGGTCTAGTCGTGTAGATTTCTGCTGCCATAGCATCGTCCCGTCCCGTCCCGTCCCTTTCCGTTCGGTTCCGTTGGTTCGGTTTGGTCTGCGCTTGGAGTTATGATTTGTTTTTCTGCGAGCAGTGGTTTTGGATTCAGAGTATTAAATGCACGACGACAGTGACTCGGCTTCTACTTAACGAGGGTCAGGGTCAGCTGCGTTGATGATACAGTACTCGATCGATGGTGGAAGTGACAAATAATACTCGACCAGGAGTTGGTCTTCCAAGGATTCTTTGAGAGTGAAGAAAATACGCGGAGGAGTTTGGTTAATACGAGTGAATCAGATGACGAGTTCTCACCATTGAAGTAATAAATTCCAGCAGAAGTTTTTTGTTTATTATTTCTTATTGTTATGAGTTAATGCCTTGATGAACTCTATTTGGTTTACCATGGCTAGTTAGCCCAGTTAGCTTTTCACTAAATTAGAGAACTGATCGTATTTTTCACAATACTGTCTCTCACAATTTATAGGTTCAGTAAATGATTTTTTGTGTTCCTGTGTATTGTGTAGGTAATGTAATATTATCAAAAGTTAATCATGTATGTTTTATGTGGACTCTTTGGAAATGCATATAGTTGATGCTGAATGTTAATGTTGAATTAAATTTACTTCACTGGCATTTGATTGATGTCTTTCTCAACGCCTTTCTTTTTTTGTGATAGTTGCAAGAGCAAGAGTGGTAATTGTGGATACACCAGTCAATAAAAAAGCTGGAATTTTTATCATACTGGAGGATGAAAGAAATTATTAAAACAAACAGTCTATTCATACATTTTAAAGTATGAAGGCGAGGAGACCATGTTTTTATGATCAGAATAGGATTTTGTAGCATATCTTAAACCTCATGTACTTATTGTACTAGCTATTGCAATCTATGTAATATAAATCATTCTAGGTGGTGGTTACTTGGATATGTCATATGTATTTTTTCTATATTCTTACAATGTTTAAATTTGAAATTTTGATTCTATTTGATTATACCCCGTAATCATCTAGTTTTCTCTCTGATCATGTTGATGTTCTCTTTCATTTTTTTATCATACTACCAAGTTGTATTGACTTGATGATAAAATTAAAAAATTATATTAATAAAATAAAAGCCTTATAACAAGGAATCCAACTACTGTCTAAATGTCCCTCATGTATGTCTTGCAGTATATTTAAAACAAATTTGTTCAGTTTCACGATGGACATTGAGTACTTAGATCATGAATTGAATGGTACTGATATTTTTATGCTTTTGTTTAGCAAAAAACTGGAGAAATATCATTATAGCGCACTTACTTCATTATTGTTCACTTATGTGAAAATTTTCCTATTACAGTTTTTTAAACTATAGGATTATTGAATTGACAAAAACCTCTGAAAATAGAAAAGTCCTCTTTTTCATACCTCGAGTTTTATACAATATATCTACATATATTTTTATTAAATTTACATATTATTTTTGGATTTTTACTAGTAATCAATACATCATATAAAGTGTAATGAGGAACAATAATTAGATTTTTAATAATTCTCCTAAATTTATAAACCAAACTATGTAAAATAATAATACATTAATAAAAGTGATTTTAGAATACGATGTTTTGAGATTTATATTACCTTACAATCTATTGCAAAAATTTCTTAAGAATTTTGTCGAGATATTTATTTATTGACTAGATGATTATCAATTTTACTAGATTTTTCTAGCCTGAAACATACATTTTAAATCAAAGTACAGATTTCACTAGAATAAAAAATATTAATATGGAGTATTTTTCTGGATTATAAAAAAATAATTTCTAATTTACGGTCAAAAGATATACTTCCAACCTATTTTGAAATTTTTTTCTATATATGAGAATTACGAATTTATTTCATTATATATATCCATCCAAGTTTAAAAATGACTTAACATCAACTGGTTTCACATAAAAAAACAAATTAAAATAAATATTTAATATCGTATTGTTCAATTCACTGCCCTGGTATCAAATCACCTGGTATAAATATATTAACATTATTTTAATGATAATAATAATTTTAATTATATCAAAATTATAAATTAATGTGCTTTGAAATAATGGTATTAATGCATAAAAATTTATATTTAAATAGATATAAAGAAATATTTAGCTTTATTTCCATTTAAAAAAGTTTATCGAAAAAAATAATTTAGTTCATAATTTCATACCAAAAGAAATCACAATCTTAACCTATATTATTTTAGAATTAGCACGTTTTTTTCCCATAAAAGTCATACATCATAATTAATTTTTGCCTTTTGATCCGTATAAATCTCAAACTTTTTTATTTCAAATTTTCTTGATAAGATTTTTTTTGCACTAGATTTTTGAGCTTAGTACCGTGGTAATCTGCTCATTAGTTTGAATAAAAATCATGAACGTACAAATCAACATAATAAGTACAAACTTGGTGATTATATTCTGTTTTAAACATACATATATGTCATGTGTATCCCATGTGCATCTTTACGATCAAATTACAAATATGAGATGTGTTTTATTTTACTGCTTCACAATCACTTTGATTCATATAAATCTTTTTATAAACTTGTAACATCACTCCGTCAGTTAAATGAAACTTAACTGGAAAACTTCAGTTAAATGTCATATAAAGCATTGAATTTATCTATTTCATTTTAATTTGTCATCATTTATACGTGAAGATTTGTTCATAACAAGCAAGTATCAAAATGATGAGGTTATGAATGTTATACAAAAATTAAACTCGGAACGTGATTGTTTGTGACATCATGAGATATCACACGATACTGGTTAATAAATTTATCAGTATCACTAAGAAACAAAATTATTGAATATTCAGAAACTATTATTTATTTCAAATATATATAAAAACGTAAATTTCATTGATAAATTTTATTGGGCATTAGTAGGAAGTTTTAATTTATTGTTTATTAGAATATTCAATAATTACTATTTAAATTTTTTGATTAAATTAAAGAATTGAAGTGATTATTTCATTTGCAACATCATGTTTACATTTAATAACATTCTCTTTCTTGTGATATCTATGAGAGAAGTTAAGAAGAATTATGATATATTGCATTGGTATTTTTAGCGTTGTTTTGGTTTGTAGCAATATCTTAATCAATATGGATTCATTCCATATTTAAGTAGGTATCTTAATATAAAGTCAGGTAACGGACTATTTTCTGGATTCCCTCATTTCACAATAATACCAATCGATTGTGTATATGTCATTCCATAACGATTTCTACCAACGAAAAATTGATATTTCTTTTTTGGAGTAAGAATTCATATTTTTTGACTTGCCAAGGCGATAAGTAGTGACTATTGTCATAGAATAATTATTTATCTATTTATTTTAAAAGCTTGCGTTTATATAAGTTAGTATGCATATCTGAAACATAGACAAAATCGGATGAAGAGCCAGGGATCTTTCAGAACCTAATAAAAACTCGGCTAATTCCTACTTATGAAGACTGGAATAATTTTGTGGAACCTTCAAATTATTCGGGAAAACTATTACCATTCATTTATCATTTTAACACACGGATATTAGAAAAATATTGATAAAGAGAAAAAGTTGAAAAACAATTCAATATTGTCCCACAATCTGAATATGCAAAGTGATAATAAGCATCAATAACTGCTGAACCCCAAAACTACAACGTGCATTTGAATCACTTATATTTAGTGGAGCAACACTAGAAGCCAAGCTAGTTCAAACAACTGCTATGTTGCAGTTGGGATTATGCACACAGATCTCTAAAATGGAATTCTTGATTTTCTCAGATATATTATAATATGTCCAGGCTCAGTTTCCAAATAGGCCCATCTAACAGTAAAATACTACAAGAGTTTGAAATTTCAATTGCAGCCAAAGATTCTGGGATTTTTGGGTCGCATTGATTTTTCGAAATCTGATGTCTTCTTTGGGCTATTCGAGTCATGTGACTGAATTCTGTGAAGGAAATTCGGTCACTCGAAAGGTTCCAATCTCTGGAGCATGTAAGAAGCTCGATTCGATGATTCTCGTGTATGGGTGCGCAGAATCTGG